CGCCATCCTGGGCGGCAAGTGCACCAACTGCGTGGAGGAGGAAGTCCCCAAGGCCCGGGTCATCATCGCGGCTGGTGTCTTCTTCATCATCTCGGGATTCCTGCTTCTCATCCCCCTCTGCTGGACCACCCATGCCATCATCCAGGACTTCCACAACCCCATGCTCGCCTACAACCAGAGGCGGGATTTCGGGCCCTCCTTGTTCATCGGCTGGGCCTCCAGCAGCCTCCTGATCATCGGCGGGGCCTTGCTGTGCTGCAACTGCCCTCCGAAAAGTGAGAAGCCGTATTCAGCAAAGTACATGGCGGCGCGGTCAGTGCCTGCCAGTAACTACGTCTAAGGACCGTCCCCTTCTCCTGAGGGACCTTTCCACCATGAAGGCGACTGAGTAGGTTTTACTGCGGATGGAGAGGGACCCTCCTTCGCTGCCTGAGTCTCTCTCCCACCCCCCGCACTTTGTGTCTTGACTCTGGAAGCAGGCCTTTGTTTGCTGCGCCCACCGAATCCTAAAACAGGAATGCGGCTAGGTTGACCACCACCCACCTACCCAAAGCAGGCCGGGAACTGGCTTCCGTCACACCGCCTTTGAGCTGCAGAAGCAGAGTGAGCTTCCAACCAACCCGGCGGCGGATGTTAGCTTTCTAAGCTGGACTGCAGCTTTTGAGGGAAGCTTCCTTGTGACTTTGAGACTCAGAGCTGTTGGATGGGACCAACAGCCCCGGGATAGTGGGGGTTAAGGGTTTGTGTGTGTCTCTGTGTTCCAGGAGCATTTCTGGGTTTGCCTAGGATTGGAAGCTGCATCTCGCTACCTGGCTTGGAACTGTGGAGTGGCAGGGGGAAGCCAGTGAGAGTTTGGGTGCTAAGACTCTGCATTGTGGTGTTGTGGTGACAAGTTAGGAACTAGGAGACCAGGGTTCAAATCCCCACTTGGGCACGAAGCTCACAGGGTGCAACCTTGGGGACCAGTCGCTGCCAGAAACGTTGTATCTGGGGCTAGGGACCTCCAGAGACTCTTCAGGATGCTCCAGGTCAATTTCTGAACCTCTTTCCCTCTGGTTAGTGGCTCTAGCCCATTATTCAGTCAGTATATTTTTGGGGAAGTGGGTGTTTTGACCTATGCTGGCCTTCTTAGTGTGGCACCCTTCCATCAGTGCCTCCAGCCAGCAGAGCTGTGTGCTCCCACCAGCTACAGTAACATACAACTATCCTGTTTTCTGTGGCCCAAGCGATGCTGTAAGGCTGATCTCTCCTTTGACAGCCAGGCTTTTCATATTCTCCCTCTGCCTGAATCAGGGATGCCGGAGTAGGAAGAGGGGGAGAGAGGTGGGAGAGAGACAGAGAGATAGAGAATCTCAAGTTAGGCATTCTGGTGTGTGTGCGTGTGTGTGCGTGTGTGTGTGTTTCAGTATTTTATTTTTGCATTTTCAAATTGCCTTTTATTTGATTGTAAATTCCATCCAGCAGCCTAGAAATGCTTTGAATAAATAACAAAAAAGAAGCATACCTTTCTGTCCTCTCCATTCCACATATTATACTCCTTTCATGCAATTTCTTTACATCATTTCTGTGCTGAGGGGGAAATGATTCACTTTCTCATTAACGGTTGCAAGATCCTCTGTCATCTTCTTGGGGCTGTGACGTTTAGCCTGTTAAGGGAGCCAGCTGTGGTGTAGTGGTTAGAGTGTCAGACTAGGACCTGGGAAAGACCGGGGTTCAAATTCTGCACCACCCCTGAAACTCACTTTGGGCCAGTCACTCACTCTTAGCCTCATCTACCTCGCAAGGTTGTTGCGAGGATTAAATGAGGAGGAAGAGAACCATGTAAGTCACTCTGAGCTCCTTGGAGAAAATAGGTGGGATGTAAATGTCACAAATAAATATTAAATAAATTATGGGGGCTCTTGTGCCCCTTTTTCAGGGATTGTTTTCGATCACTGACCCTTATATATTTCTCTTTAGTTGTTTTTTGCTAGATCATTAACAACCTTGAAGGTCCCTGAGGTAGAGGGGGGGGGCAGAACTGAATAAACCCTGGCTTGTGTCTAAGGGCAGGGAGAAATTTGGTTTGGTTTGCATTTCAAGTTGAGCCTGATTTGCTCTCCCGAAACATTTTGCAAATCAAAAGTCAGCCTTTGAAATCTGCAGCTCTCTGAATTTTGCACAAGCAAATAATGTGTACATGAGGGGAAAGGGCACGTTAAAAAATGCCAACATTCATGTAAATAATGTTAAAATGCATTATATTGCAGGGGGTTGGACTAGATTACCCTTGAGATTCCTACCAACTCTACAAATCTATTATTCCACAATCATTTTGTAGCTACTTCCCCCACCTCCACGATATGCTTTCTGTTAGGTGGGGCAACAAGAACATCAGGTAAATATTCCTAATAGGACTGAACCACCTTTCCGGCTGCTTAGCGGGCGGGCGGGCAGGGAGGCAGGCGATTCTTTTAGTAACCTGATTGCTCTGCCACCTTTGTGTTGGCACATTGGTAATTCCAAGGAAGAGGAAGAAGACACCGTATACCAGACTGGGGCGCATGTGTGCCAGGGGTGGGGATACAACTGGTTTTGAGAGGTAAAGAGCTGAGATAGGGCTCTTGAGCAAGAGGAGGGGAAGTTTTGAGTTTGCAAACTGCTCAGAGGAACATCAGAAGCTGCCTTGTATGGAATCAGGTCATGGGCTCATCTAGCTCGGCACTGTCTAAAGTGATGGGCAGGATTTCAGACTGCAGCCTCCTGTGGAAATGAGTTCCATGGTTTAATTATTTCTGGCGTGAAGAAGGACTTTATTTTCTTTGTCCTGAATCTTCCAGCATTCAGATTAATGACATGTCCTTGAGTTCTAACATTATGAGAGAGAGAGAGAACACATGCCAGTCAAGCCCCATCAGCGGACCAGATGAGAAATTTCAGCAAAGCAAATGCTCGAAAGGAAATGTTTTCTCTCTGACTTTCTCCTCCCCTTCTCTCTCTTTTGATGCGCTAAACATTCACAGTAGAAAACCTGATCAGTCAATGGGGCATGGTCTGCAGATGCTGGTCTTATACTGGTTGGGATGTCTTGCTTCAGCATTATAGCGGGGGCCACAGATAGATCTGAAGTCCATGTTTCTATAAAATATAAGCCATTTGGAGCTGTGTGGAGGGGAGGCCGGGCAAGTCTCTAGTTGGGATGCATCAATATTAGTCTGCTTCCATTCTTCTCACATAAACAGTTCCATACTATCTGCAGGGCCCTGCAGCCTTCTGAAGACTCCCAGCAGACAGCGAGAAAATGGCGAGAGCCACAGTTTAGCACATGGGTAGGCAAACTGAGGCCTGGGGGCCGGATCCGGACCAATCGCCTTCTAAATCCAGCCCGCAGGCGGTCCGGGAATCAACGTGTTTTTACATGAGTAGAATGTGTCCTTTTATTTAAAATGCATCTCTGGGTTATTTGTGGGGCATAGGAATCCGTTCATTATTTTCCCCCTCAAAATATAGTCCAGCCCTCCACAAGGTCTGAGGGACAGTGGACCGGCCCCCTGCTGAAAAAGTTTGCTGACCCCTGGTCCAGCAACATCATTCTGGAGCAACGGCAGGTTATTTCCTCACACCTACAGCTTCTTTCTTAGGTGGAGATGTTTTTGAACACCACTGTTCCCACGCGAGGGCTGAAGCAGGCAGGCCGTCCCTTGCCTCAGGCTGCCTCATGGCTTCACATCGGCCGCCATCTTGGGTGGGAGGGCAAACAGAGAGGGTGCGGAAGGAGGCACTCCTCCCTCGTGGCCAGTGCCACAGAAGGAGACTCTTGCTCAAGAGGTGGCAATGCAACCCAGTCTCCATGGGAGTGCTTGGGCCTCCTCTTCTCTGAGCCGGAAGCTGAGACTGGTCTCCTAGGGCTGGCGGCAGCTGAGCTACAACCCCCTGAACTACACCCCCTCGCACCCGCTCCCTGCCAGGTGTGGCGGCCAGAAAAACAGGCTGTGGGCCTGCTCAAAGGCGGCTGCATTTGGGGTGGAGGTGTTTGCTGAGATCTCTTTGATAACTCAGCAAATGATTGCTCCATCTTCCCACCTGGCAAATTTGAACCTGTATACAAAAATGGAGTGGGATCTGAGAAGTAAATAACTTAATATTCATCTCTCGGCGGCAGCCTGGGGCTGTGTTGCCGAATCCTGGAAAACATTTAATAAATTGGATTGCTGGCGCTCTAGGGTTTGGCAAATTGCCCTTCTTGAAATGCTATCTCATAAGCTAAAAGTATCTAAGGGGCAGAGCTCAAATGACCGTATATATACGGTCTGTGTGTGTGTGTGTGTGTGTGTGTGTGTGTGTCTGTGTATGTATGTATGTAGTGCAATGTTAAGGGGTGCTCTCATTTTGACTCAAGAAAATCACCATTTTTTAGTTCAAATCGGGAAAATAAATACAGTAAATGGACAAAAGTACAAAGATTCACTAAATGTTTAGGGGCATGCGTACCCCTGTGTACCCCTAGAAAAAAAGCTCTGTAGGTAGGTAGGTAGGTAGGCAGGTAGGTAGGTGTGTGCATGTAAACAGCCAGAGCTGTTTAGCTTCTTTGAATAAAGAGTCAACTTCACTGAAACTGGGTGTTTTATGGCTGACCTACTCCTGCGTCTGGCTCCTGACAATATACAGTGGAACCTCAGTTTTCAAGCATCTCAGAAGTCAAACGTTTCGGCTTTTGAACGCCAAAAACCTAGAAGTAACTGCTTTGGTTTTTGAACGCTTTTCAGAATCTGAACGTGCCACATGGCTTCTGTATAGAGTTTCCTGGACGGAAATGCTTCCAGAAATGCATGCTTCAGCTTTCGAACGTTTTGGAAGTCGAATGGTCTTCCGGAACGGATTACGTTCGAAAACCAAGGTTCCACTGTATTCAGAATCCCCTCAATCCAGATCCTTGAAAAGTTTGGGAAGCTTTATCTGGCATTCTCCCAACCCCAGGGCTCCTGCTTCCAACCTAACCGCCCTCTGTGCTGTTTCCCCAGCAGGGGGGAGCACGATGGCAGTCCTGGCCTTGCAGATGGGAGGCCTGGTGCTGTCGGTCCTGGGCTTCCTGGGCGCCATCTTGGCCTGTGCCATGCCCATGTGGAAAGTGACGGCCTTCATTGGCTCCAACATCATCGTGGCCCAGGTCTTCTGGGAAGGGCTGTGGATGAACTGCGTCTACGAGAGCACCGGCCAGATGCAGTGCAAGGTTTACGACTCCCTGCTGGACCTCCCCGCTGACCTTCAGGCAGCCCGCGCCCTGGTGGTGGTCTCCATCGCCATCTCCGCCCTGGCCCTGCTCGTGGCCATCACTGGAGCCGAGTGCACCCGCTGCGTGGAGGACCCAGAGGCCAAGGGGAGAGTCTCGGCAGTGGCCGGTGGGGGGTTCATCATGGCCGGGCTGACTCTGCTTGTCCCCATCTCCTGGTCTGCCAGCGCCATCGTCAGCAATTTCTACAACCCCCTGGTGCCCGAGGCCTTGAAGCGAGAGCTGGGCATCTCGCTGTATGTGGGATGGGCAGCCAGTGCCCTCCTGGTCTTTGGAGGGGCCATGCTGTGCTGCCACTTCCCACAGAAGGGGAGCACCAAACCTTACCCAGTGAGATACTGGGCCGGGGGGAGGCACTCCACCCCGGGCAGCTATGCCCGGAAAGACTATGTTTGACTGCTATGTGGGGGCGCACCTCTCGCTTCAGGAGGGGAAAGGTTTCTCACTTCTATAGGATTTGTGCAGGGGGAGAACAAAGAAGCTGCATGTTGCTTCTTGAAAGTCACTCCTTGCCGGAGTATAAACTCAGGGGGCGTTTGGTACTAAAGGGACACCCATCCCTGGGATGACCCGTGATCAGGGAATGATGGGAGTTGTAGTCAGTCCAGCAAGATCTGGAAGGCCACCGGTTCTCCAGCCATATCAACCTTTGGCAGATTGAATCGCATACCCTCCCAAGTGTCCCTGTTCTCCAGGGTCAGTCCCAAAATTACAGAAGCAGTCCCAGTTTCTGTTTTGATCCCACAATATCATGCTTTCCCTTTTTCCTCCCCTCCACATCTCGGAAAACAATTAAAAGTGGCGTGTGTGTAGTAGCTGCAAAAATGGAGTCCTGTTTATACTGAAAATAAAATTCCTGCACCAAATGAAATGGTGAAGCTGGCGTATGAATCCTTGAAGGAAAATGTCACCAATCTACTTAAAATTGCAATGCTTCAGCAGCGAGCCATTTTTAGGAAACGTGCTTATTCCTTGATTGTAAATGGAGCCTTACGCTGTCTACTGTAGAGAAATGAGTCCCACTGTATTCAATGGAGCTTACTCTCAGGTAACTGGGTAAAGACTGTGCAGCTTCACACTGAAATCCTAAGCATTTTTACTCAGATCTAAGTCCCACTGAGTTCAATGGGATTTACTCTCTGGTATGTTCCTGATCATTCTCACACTTATCATCATCATCATCATCATCATCATCATCATCATCATATTAGTATTATATCCTGCCCTTTTTCCCTGACAGGAAGGCAGTTTACAGCTTAATTTTTTTCAAATTCCATTTATCTGTTGAAGGTGTTACACACATTCCCTTCCCTCACGCCTTTTATTCTTTACAACAGTCCTGCGATGTAGGTTCAACCGAGAGGTTGTAATTGGCTCAAGGTGACTGATGTAGATGTGAATATGATGTATATGTTTGCAGCGAGATCAACTGCAGGAGAAGCTTCTTGATGTGGAAGAGAATGTCAGAGAAATGTTGGAGGATATGGAATCATGGAATCACGGAATCACCAAAATAGAGTTGGAAGAGGCCTCATCGCATCCAACCCCGCTGCTATGCAGGAGCCACAGCTAAAGAATCCCTGACAGGCCCCCATCCAACCTCTGCTTAAAAACCTTCAACAGAGCCTTTCTGAGAGAGTCAGTTCCATGTTGCTGGACGCCCAACTTCCAACAACCCAAGCTAGCATGAGGCTGTGTAACATTTCCAAAAGCATAAATCTGCGCTCGCACGCCTTTGTTCAGCTTCTGCAAACCCCACCCTCATTCGTCTTGTAAAAAGAGAGGAGGGAGAGAGGTGTCCTCCCTATGTAAACTTTGGTGTTTTAAAATAAGCAGTGACTCCTCAAAAAAGAGCACAAGGAAGTTGGTGCAGGTTGTAAACCAGGTGCAAAATGCAAATAAAAACACAACTTTAATGGAGCATTGATGTATCACCGCAGGGCTGTGCTGTGGCAATCTTGCCTTAAAGGCAAGAATCCCATTTGGCCGAGGAGACTCCCAAACTGGGGCTTTTCTGCCCACAAGGAAGCTGTTGGAGCCAAGAGGTCCTGCGACTCCATTAATTGTGGGCAGGAAGTCAGTATTTATCTGGAGCCTTGATCTCCTTTAAATGGCCCACACCCATTGTTCTTTAGAAGGCATGCATGCACATTGTATTAAATCGCCATGACCTGCTTTTATATATCCTTCTCTTCTCCATTAGGCTAAGTCAACTTTAGTTAAGCCCTTTACAGAAAGAAGCATTTTCTCGCTCTCTGTCTCGCCATCCCTTCCTCCCTTGCAGACCTGCCAAACTGAGTTATAACACTGTTTTGCCCATTGGGGAACCGAGTTTGGCAACATGGAACTCACCCTTATCCATATTTCTGCAAGGATTTGCTGCTTTCAAGACCCCTGTTTCAGATTGTTTGGAGAGAGAAGGTGCAAACATTCACACATTTGGGCTTCCTTTTACGCTTCCCCATTTGGATTTAATATTTCTCTAGTTCCACCATTTTCTGAGGGTTTGTAGAGACTGTCCTGGGTATATAGGGTGTTAGGGGAGGGGGAGCAGCTCTGGTGGGGAACAGATTGTGCTCCTTCCGGGGTAGCTTGTCCACGTTTGGTCCCCACCCTGCACTCAGCTCTCACATGTGACTCCCAGATCTTTTTCAGCATGTGATAGTGGCCACAGCCCTGCAATGGCTTTGACTGGCTGCCTATATCAAATGAGGGTAGCTGGTGGGTCTGAAACCCTTGGCGAGTTAGGGGCTTTTCCTGCATGCAAAGACAGGCTCCAGAAGATTGAACGGATGAGACCAGCTGTGGGTCCAATGGTCAAGAAGGCAGTTTCTACACGTGCTGCAGAAGAAAGTGAGGGGCAGATGGGACCGTCAACCTGGGAAGGGAGCCCATCTAGGAGAAGGGAAACTCTGATCCTAAACCTCTGATGTCTTGCAGGATATCTTCGAGAGAAGAAAGGCTAAGGAAAGGGGCATCTTGCCCATAGAGGCTAGTGGCGCAGGGCGCCAGGGCGCAAAATTCTGGAGGGCGCCAGGGAAGAGGTGGAGGCTGGACGTGGTGCCTCCCAGCAGCAGCTCGCCGCCCTTGCCCGCATCCACCATGCGGCCAGCTGAGCTGGGAGCCGCCGCATCCAGCCTCCGCCTCTTCCCCGCCGGAGGAGCTGCCCTCCAGCCGCTGCCCGCCTCCTCCAGCCCCACAAAGCTGGCCACACCGCCGGCAGCACCGTCCTCCCTAAAAAAGGTTGGCAACTCTGGGAAAGGGGGGATGTTGCTCGGATCTTCGCACCATGGCACCGGATATGCTTAAGACGGTCCTGGCTAAGGAGTAAACTCTACTCAAAACTGGAGTGGAGTCCCTGAGACAGTTGTACACCTCCTTCCGGCAATTCCTGCAGCCAAGCTGGTGCCAAACGTCTTGCTCTGCCTTTCTTTGGACCACATCAGTGAGGCTGAGAGGGGGGTCTTGTCATCTAGGCAGCCCTGGACCTCCATACACACTGCCCAGGCTTTGGCAGCCCTGGACCTCCATACACACTGCCCAGTCACTTTGGTGCTACCAATGCAACAGTTTGACTTCACCCCTGGAGGCGCACTCCATTGTCTCTTGAGACAGACAAATGCCAACAACAGAAACTGTCTACGAGCATCTTAAGAGCGTAAGAAGAGCCTGCTGGATGAGGCCAATGGCCCATGTAGTCCAACATGTAATAATGTTCATGCAATGACCTATCTAGTCTAGCATCCTGTTCTCACAGTGGCCGGCCAGAGAAGGAAAGGGCTATCAGTGGCTAACTAGTCATGATGACTATACTCTTCCTTCCCAGTTTGAGGCAGTAAACCCTCTGAATACCCTTTTCTGGAAACCACAGGAGGGGTAAAGGGCTCTTGTGCTCAAAGTTTGAGGCAGTAAACCCTTTGCTCTCAGCTTTCCCCACAGGGATCTGTTCAGCCACTGTGAGGAGGGGATGCTGGACTAGATGGGCCACTGGCCTGATCCAGCGGGCTCCATTTATGTTCTTAATGCTGGTGCCCTCCCTGCCTTCTCAATGACTCTCCGCTCTCCTGTTCATTTTCAAGGTCCTTAACCAGGTATCCTTCCAGCTACAAATGTTTGCTTATTTTGGTTGCTAGGAGAAGCAATGCCAGGGCCAAACTAACAAAGGGTATATTGCCTGAGCTACAAATGAAGAACAATGAAGGAAAAAACCTCACCACCACACACTTCCTTTTATTGCACTGAAAACTGATTTTGCTCAGAAACCTTGATGCCCCATTCATACCACGCATTTAAAGAACTACGGTGCCACATTAAACTCTCATAGATGACCTCCAATTCCCCTCAGAGAACTATAGTTCCCAGGGAAGAGGGGTTGACTATTAAGTCACTTTGGGAGTTGTAGCTCTGGGAGAGGGGAATAGGGGCCTCTCCCAGCAACTCTTAGCACCCTTAACAAACTACAGCTCCCATAATTCTTTGGGAGAAAGCCATGGCGGCATTGCAAAACTCGGAGAAGTGCAGATTTCTAAGGATAGCTATGCTTCAGTTCTCATTGTTTTGGAAAATGCGACATCGATAAGCTGGGCTTTAAATGCAAATTGAACCCAATTTCTACCACGTTCTGAATCTGAGCCACTGCAGGAGGTTGAGGGAAGGCTGACCCAGTAAAAACCGAAATCTGCCTGTCCTAGCTGGGGTTGATGGGAGTTGTAGTCCAAAACGACATCTATGTGTATGTACCAAGTTGGAAACGGCCAGCCTAAGAAAAAATTGCCTTTAAGATATATGAATGTCCCATGGCTATAGAAGCACAAGCCGGGGGAGGGGGTTCACGGTGATTATTTAGTGTCCAAAGGCACTCTGCACATGCTCAAAGGCACAGACTGCTTTATTAAATGCTCCACCCACTGGATAGCAAAGTTCCAACCTTGCGGGGTCTCTCAGCAAGTAGAGGAATGGCAGCTTTTCCTCACAAGACAGGGCTCTTTTGATACAGGTACACTACGCCAGGGATATACTCCACACCCTGTGCAGACTCCTTCTCTGATGTCGCCCGCTCCCATGCCTCAACTTCCTGCTCCATGACTTTTCGCCACAGTCCCCGCTGCTCCAGCTCGTTCAGGACTTGCTGCAGTTGGGCCTTGTATTCCAGGTTGCCTGTGTTGCTCCGGGTGGTCAGGCACAGGTAGCCTCCTGTTATTAAAGGAGGATGTTGATCAGGTCCAGGGAAAGCCCTGACAGCATCACAGGGGCTTTTCCACACTTGTCCTCCTGCTTTTCCCCCAGGGGAAACCGCTATTCCTGCCCCCCAAAAAACGTTGGTGAAACTGACCCAAAAAAATTCCTCATCTGGACAGATTCATTGGAGGACAGGATGAAGGGAGAGAGAAGGAAATCTGCATTGGCTAAATGGAGAAGGCCTTTCTCCATCACACTTCCATACAGATTAAAATGTGGAGATTAAATGTGTCCAATCCTGTGGGGAACATAGTGGAGGACTGAACATGAAATTTCAAGGAGAGTACAGCTCTTTAAGGGGGGCATTTCTTTTTTTAAAAAACCCACAATACCACAGCAAAGTTTAAGAAACATGGCTGTCAATCCTCACTCCTGGCTGCCAAAACAGTTTTTAAAACTCCAATATAAACACATGTTAAAAGGCATTTATGCCTTTCATACATTCACTTGAAGAGCATGGGAGAGGCTTAAAAGTGGTTCAGTGTGACTGGTCTGAATTCAAGGAAGTCTTTTCCGAACAACCAACAACCAACAACCAACAACAAGCAAGTGAACTATTCCTCTTCCCCAGCTCCACTGGAGTAGATCTCCTTGGCTGTGGCTGGTTAAAAAGGTCTCCCAGCACCATCTAGTGGCCACAGATTCATGGTGGATCAGCCCAACCGCTTGCAGTGCAGGAATCACAGCTGAAGAATCCCTGACAGACCCCCATCCAACCTCTGTTTAAAAACCTCCTTTGAAGGAGATTCCATCACCTTCCAAAGGAGCCCATTCCGCTGCTGAACAGCTCTAGCTGTCAGGAAGTTCTTCCTAATATTTAGTAGGGATCTCCTTCCTTGCCATTTGAAGACATTGGTTTGGGTCATCCACACTGGAGCAGCAGAAACAAGCTTGCTGCATCTTCCATGTGACAGCCCTTCAGGGACTGGAAGATGGTTATCCTCTCAGTCTTCTTTTCTCCAGGCTAAACAGACCCAACTTCCTCAACTGTTCCTAATCAGGCTAATTTTCCAGGCCCTTGATCCTTTTGGTTGCTTCTCCTCTGCACACATTCCAGTGATGAACAGTGATGAACCTAGGTGATGCTTCCTGTTTTACATATACATATATATACATATACATATACATATATATATATATATATATATATATATATACACACACACACACACACACACACACACACACACACACACACAACCCCCACTGCAACAGGGCATCTCCTACAAAAGCCCCACCTGGTCTGGTGACACGAAGCAACTCTGGAACCACGCTGGTGGGCACCTGTCCTTCGCTGAGCGCCCCCACGATCAGAACAGCGTCATAGCACCCTGGTCAGAAGCAACAGCATCGATTATTTATTTGTATTTTTTCATTTTAAAAAAATAGCCTAACACTTTGAATTGGGGCTCAGGGATGAACAGGCAAATGGCACAGGTGTTTAAGGACAGGTGTAACATGCTCCTTGGCAGAAAAGCCCATCAGGTTTCTGGTCACTGTGTTTTGCGCAAGCTGCAGTCTCCAAACCATCTTCAAGGGCAGCCCCATGTAGAGAGAATTACAGGAGTCCAGATTGGGGAGGTTATTGTTTTGTTTTTACTACAGCATGAACGGCTGTGCCCAGGAACAGTTCGCACCAGCAAACTGTGGGAAGGCAGGGATCTTCAGTCCCCACAACTGACTCATAGGGGCAAGATCTACTTGCTGTGCTCAGTAGGCCTGGCACTACTGAGCAGACCTTGTTTCTTTTCATAAAGAGTTAATTTCACTTGCTCCGTGTGATTTATTGCTGACCCGCTCCTGACAAGTGACAGACTATTGTCATTCTGGGAGTAGCCCCAGATGATGCACGGTCCTTGGGGTGAGTTCCAGAGGTTAATGCAGGGAAGCAGCATCACCTTGCCCACCTCAGCCTCACCCCCTGCACCCTAACCCCCACCCACTCAACCCATTTCTCAGGAAGGGGTGCACCTCTTGGTCTTGTTACCTTCAGGAGCTGGTAGGGCTTCCTGCCCCAAGAGGCACCTCTTCAGATCCTGGTAGATCCCCTTGCGACACGCGTGTTCCAGCATCCCCTGACTGCCATCCAGGCCGTGGAGGCGGCAGAAACCTTTTGCCTGCAGCTTAGAAGGTGCAGCTTAAGTCACATGACACCAGCCTGGAACCACACCCACTCCTGCCTGCCAATCAAACGCGAGCTTACTGGACACCACAAGCGACACCCGCAGGAGCTAGATGGGGATGGTGTTGGGGTAGCTGGGCGATATCTGGTTTTCAACATTGCAATAGATCACCAGCTAAACATCATGATATACTGATACAGTGTCTGAAATGAAGATGGAGCTCTGTAGAGGAATTGGCTGGCTTCACAGTTTCCCCCATGATTTACACAAACATTTCGTGATTTGTGATATATTGCCAGGTGAAAAATTATGAAACTGGTATAACGATATGGACTTCAAACTGATTTTGGACAATATAAGCACAGCCTTCTGGGTACCAGTTGCTGGAAACCGCAAGAGGGGAGAGGGTTTTAGTGCTTGCAGGTTTCCAACAGGCACCTGGTCAGCCACAGTGAGAACAGGCTAGACGGGATATTGGCCTGATCCAGTTGGCTCCTCTGACGTTCTTACGTAACTCTCTCCCACTGGAGGCAGGGATAGCTACCAACTTGGATACTTTAAAAGAGGACTATACAAAATTGTGGAGAATAATAAGGGTTTAAATGGCTACTGACCACAATGTCTATGCTCTGTCTCCATAGGGGGATATGGCCCCTGGGCTGCAAAATATTCCCTGCCCCAGTTTAACCGATGGATCAACTCCTAACAATAGCACAAAAATATTAATGAACCTCCTAATCCATTAAAAACTAGATTCAATGAAATAAGACCCCGTGACTCAAGTGGCAGCCTCATTAAGATGCCCGTCTTTCCCAGAGACAAGAGCACCATCAGACTGGGGCAGTTCACAGCAGGGTGAGATCACTGTGTCCCAAATAATTTGATACATCAGCTGATGGTCCCCAGGTCTGGCCAATGACACGGGTGGAGACACACCCCACGATGGCCTCCTCTGAGATTGGGCTACGGCGCCCCAGTTACCTCCTTGGCCACAAGTCCCGTGCCACAGGCCACATCGAGCACTAGAGCGTCCTGGAGGGGTTCCTGGAAAACGGAGGCCAAGCAGGCAGCAGCCAGTCGGGGGGCTTGATACTGCAAGACAGCAACATCCTACAGGGGAAAAGAGGTCTCGTCAGGAACAGGGTGGGGACCGAACTTCATAAGTAGAGCCCAATGGATCAGGCTAATGGCCTAATGGTCCAGCATGCTGTTCTTACAGTGGCCAACACAAACACATGATCACCCTCCGCCTCCTGTGGTTTCCAGCAACATGTTGTTGTTGTTGTTGTTGTTGTTGTTGTTGTTGTTGTTGTTGTTGTTGTTGTTATCATCATTATTATTGCTATTTTTAGTTTATACCCCACCCATCTGACTGGGTTGCCCCAGCCACTCTGGGTGGTTTCCAACAGATATAAAAAACATAATAAAACATCAAATATTTAAAAAAAACTTCCCTATATAGGGCTGCCTTCAGATGTCTTCTAAAAGTTGTATAGTCAACTATCTCCTTGACAAGGGAACCACCAGAAGGCCCTCGCAGCTGGACCTCAGTGTCTGGGCTGAATTCAGAAGCATTACTGCCTCCTTTAAAGCCATCCAAGTTGGTGTCCACTGCTGCCTCCTGTGGGAGGGAGTTCCATAGTCTCACCATGCATTGCGTGAAGAAGTCCTTTCTTTGACCAGTCCTGAATCTCTGAACATTCAGCTTCACTGGTCCACAAGTTCTAGTGGTATGAGAGAGGGAGGCAAACTTTCCTCTACCCACTTACTCCTTGCGGTGCTTAATTTTATAAACTCCTATCATGTAAGCTCCTATCATGTCAGTATTGTTTTTAACATTCGATTGGGAGCCATTGCAAATGCAGCAACCATTCTTCATAGAGAAGTTGCTCCACCCCCTGTATCATTCTGGTTGCCCCTTTCTGAACCTTTTCCAACCTCCCGGCATCGGTATTTTTAACCCCTTGCAGCATACGTCTAACTAAACACCATGTTGGCTGCAGGAAGTGAAAGGAAGGTTTGTCACACACAGAACTTATGGCTCTGCTAGGAATTGTACTTTTGGCCTTTTCACATCCAAAGAAAACATTCCATTCCCCCTGCCGTCCTGATTTCATTGCTCCAGGTGTTCCAGGGCAGTTGGAGAGCAGATATCTTGGGCTCTGCCCAGTTCCAGGGGACCTTGGCTGAGATGGAGACATTTGCGGTAATAAAATCCTTCTTGCCCCAAACAGATTGGGCCTGGGGAGGGGCTGGCAAGGTGGAGCAAAAGCTATCAGCATTTCAGACTATTCAGTCAGAGAAAATGCGAGCCAGAAGAGACACGATTAGGTGTTTATAGGATAGAGAATGGACAGAGGAAAGTTTTCTAATCATAGACACCCAAGGAAATCAAATGTTGGAAGTTTCAGGACAGAGAAAAGAAAGTCCTTCACACAGGGCATAGTTAAACTATGGAACTCACTGCCACAGGAAGCAGTGAGGGCCACCAACTTGGACGGCTTTAAAGAAAGGAATGGAGGAATTCATGGAAGAGGGAACTACTGATGGCTACTAGCCAAGATGGCTCTCCTCTGCTTCCAGAGTCGGAGGCGGTGATGCTTCTGAATACCAGTTTCTGGAAACCACAGGAGAGGACAGGGCTCTTGTGCTCAGGTCCTGCTTGAGGGTTTTTCATTGGGGCATCTGGGTGTCTGCTGTAAGAACAGGATGCTGGACCACATGGGTCATTGGCTGAATCCAGCAAGTTCTTAGCACATGGGAGATGAGTGAAGAAAAGGATGTGCTTGTGGTTAAATGGCCATGGTAAGGATGGATGGAGGATGGACCTATCATTTTCAGACCTCTCCTTCTCATTTGTCCAGTCTTGAATTCACTTCTCTGCATTTCTGCATCCATTTGCATTTTTAAAAAAATCCTCAGGAAAATTCATCACAATTTTCATGTGAATTTCTTCTAATAAACCGCTTTTTCTATATGCAGTTTTGACCAGCAAACATTTCTGCAAGCAATTTCCCCTAATATAATCCACTTCTGTATGTTGTTTTTAGTGGCATATTTATTCTTATGCACATTTTCTGCTAATATATGCATTTGTGAAACCGTTGGGAGAGCTGCATGGCAAAATATGGAGTACTGCAAATTTTGAGGGGTGGCTGTGGTTTGTATTGTTCTGGAAAGAACCTGTTCACCTGTAAATGTGAACTGAATCAAAATTCTCCCCCAAACCTAACTGGTAACTGACTCCTTTTTTAACTCCCGTCCTGATTAATTCACCCTCCTTCTGATACAAGCAATTCTTCTCTCTGGCCTCTTCACTTGGTTGGATTCCATGTGAGGCATGGATAGCCAAACTGCGGAACCCGTGGCCACAGGAGGAAATAATGGCCACCAAGTCGAATGTCTTTTAAAAAAGGATTGGATAAATTTGTGGAGGACAAAGGCTACAGACGACAATGGCTCGGCTCTGCCTCTGACAGTTCGAAGCACCAATGCTTCTGAATACCAGCTGCTGGAAATCGCAGGAGGGGAGAGTGCTGCTCCTGCGGTCAAATCCTGCTTGTGGGTTTCCCATAGGCATCTGACTGGCCATTGTAAAAACACGTGGATCACATGGGCCATTAGCCTGATCCAGCAGGCAATACTTATGATATTGTGTGTGCGTTGAAATATCTTCTTTTCATTACCTGCTACCTGCTATTATTTATTTTTATACCACTCTTCCTTCCAGTAGGAGGGACCCTTTTGATTTTTCAGCCTTCCCCAACCATCCAGATATTTTGTACCCCAGCTCCCATCAGCCCCCAAAGCAAGCCTGCCCAATGGCGGACTGCTTTCCTGATGCCGGCACTCTACACATGCCCAAGAACACCCCTTCTATTATTATTGTGCCCCAGGTGGAGAAAATGGGTTTTGGGGGATTTAAATTCAGAACGGGGGGGGGATGCTTTGCCAAAATCGGTCCAAAAGAGTCCACCAAGCTAGGTATCCACTTTATTTTAGAAGCACCAGCTGCCTCTGAGAAGCCCACAAGCAGGCCTGTTATTTGCCCAACTATCTCATGCATCCTGTGGCTGCAATGGGTGTCAAGGTAGATTGCCTCTGAAGATGGAGGTTCTATTTAGGTGAGATGATGGTGGGACCTCTATCCATTAATTTATTACTTATTTACGTATTCCGTTTTATATCCCAGCTTTCCCTCCAAGGAGCTGAAGGTGAAGCAAATGGTTCTCCCCCATCCTCATTTCATATCCATAGCAACCCTCTGAGGTAAGGGCAGGCTGGGAGACAGCGAGCCCAAGGTCTCTGAGCCTCATGGCTGAGTGGTGGATTTGAACCCTGTACTCCAGGTCCTGGTCCGACACTCAATTTCTCTAATCCCCACCCTCAGCTTGCCCTTTAAAATGATGGCTAAACTGCTGACCCGGGATTCGTGGGAGGAGAGAGAAAGGCAGAACTCTGCACGCGCTCAAGAGTCTCCTTAGGGAATGAAAGAGAAGAATGCTCCCAGGAGGGCAGAGGGGACGAACTAAGGGCAGAAGCGAAGCGGGGTGAGGAGGGTTGGAGGAGGAGTAACCTCTTCGTATTCCGGGGCCCAGCCGTCGTAGAAACGGAGCTGCTGCTCCGGATGGCCTTCGTGGTGCACCTGGGCGACGCGGCGCTGAACCTCGGCAAGGCGGCTGCTGCCTGCGCTGTCATCAGCCATGTCCGATCCGCCCCTCCGCGAGAGCAGCAGCCGCGGCCGCCTCCTTCCCGGCTCCTCCTCTCTCGCCCGCCTTTCTCCTCGTCCTTCCCCCGGCAGGCTTTGGGGAACTCTAAGGAGTCGGCTTTTAACTTGTGCTGCGCTGTTTTGTGCTAGTTCTGTAAGAATTGTTTTTCAGCGGTTATCTTCCACATGCTTTTCGCCTTCTGTGCCTATATGCCGTTTTAATTTGTGTAAGCAGTTTGGGGGAAAGGTGGGGTATATAAGCGGATCTCAGGGTCATGGATTCCAACCGCATGTTGACATGGGCTTAACCTGGATTTTTTTGGGGGGGGCAGGATTTATCTGTTGGGGGGCAGAACCTCAGTTAAGTATTTCTATTGATTTACTTGATGGGGGCAGCTGCGCCCTTCCTGCCCCCCTGGCTATGCCCATGCACGTTGGGCAAATGATTCCTGCATTGCACGAGGTTGGGTTAGAACTCTACAATTCTATGGTTCTATAACAACATCTGGCAGCCCAGTCCCCTATTCGTGTGGCCACACTCGGGATTTTGGTGATGGCATATATATATATATATATATATATATATATATATATATATATGCAGGTTTTGGTGTCCTCGGGTGTTTTCCCGTGTAAAAGTTGGGGTGTCTAGGCGACGTTTCGACGAGGTCTCACTCGTCATCTTCAGGCTGGTGCTTTCGGCTTCTTGTTACTGGAACAGAGCAGGATCTCAGTGTTTGAGTTCCTATAAATACTGTTGAGGGGGTGTGGTGTATAGCCTTCAATGTTCTGGGTAGAGAGGAAGTTCCCAGGCTAGTGTGCCTTTTCTTCTTTTGTTCCTTAATTACTTGAGGGATATCTTGAGTGATTTCTTGAGTGATATTCTGAGTACCACTTAGGTGGGTCATTAGGTGTGGATTAGTTGCTCAAGCCTTCGTGTCTTGACCTCTTGAACTTTGTGAAGAGTTTTTCTGAGAAGATGGCTGTACTGCACTTAGTTGTGCTCTGGCTTGGCTTCGGGTATAGGGGCGAGCTGTGGTTTTGTGCCCTGTGCCAGCCAGATCTGTGTAGGGATTGCAGGGGGGTGCAGCATCCGGAGGTGCCACCATGGTTTGGCTACTGGATGGTGTCTGTAATTTATCTGTGGAGAGGGTCTGGGTTTGGGTCTGGTGTGGTTGATTGGTGATGGCGTTCTGTGTGCCTCTGGATCTGGTGTCGGTTTTTGTGGGGAGGGCTAATTTCCAGATGTCCGGCAGGCGGGACGTGTCGTCACGCTTGTTCATGTTGTGAGGGTGTTTCTCTATCTCGATGGCTTCCGTGATTATTCTCTTGTGGTGATGTTCCATGTTAAAGAGCAATTTGGAATCTGCAAAATTAATTTCGTGTCCTGTTTCTTTCATGTGTTGGAAAAGAGAGGAAGTTTTTTCTTCTTTTTTGACGGCATTCTTGTGTTCTGCGATACGTGCATTTATTCGTCTGTTTGTTTGTCCAATGTACGTGGCTGGGCAGACTTTGCAGGGTATTTCATAGACCCCTTGGTTTTCCAACTGGATTTTATCTTTGGGGTTTCTGAGGATATTGGCTATTTTTTGGTTGGTGCAAAAGGCTGTTTTGATATTGTGTTTATGGAGGATTTTGCTAATTTTATCTGTAGTGCCCTTGATGTAAGGAAGGAGGGCCATGCCATTGTTTTCTTCTGTGTCTTGGTTTTTGGGGGGTGTTTCTTTTTGGATTAGCTTCGTAACCCTGTTTTGCTGGTATCCATTGGCGATTAACACATTTGAGAGATTCTGTAACTCAGTTGTCAAGTGGTCTTTGTCAGCCAGGCGTTTGGTTCTGGAGATGAGAGTCTTGGCTACGGAGTTTATTTGTGCAGGGTGGTGGTGTGATTGTGCATGTAAGTAGCGGTTGGTGTGTGTTTTTTTCCGGTAGATAGTGTGTCCTAGGGAGCCATCAGGTTTTTTGTAGATTAGGACGTCAAGGAAGGGAAGTTGGTTGTTGGCTTCTATTTCCATAGTGAATTGTATTTTGGGGTGTAGGCTGTTGAGATGTGTGAGGAAGCTATCTAGTTTTTCCTTCCCGTGTGGCCAAATTACAAAGGTGTCGTCAACATATCTGAGCCAAAGTTTGGGTTTGTGTTCTGACTTGTCTAAAGCATTGGTTTCAAAGTGTTCCATGTACAGATTTGCGATGACCGGTGAGAGGGGTGATCCCATAGGTGCTCCTTCTATCTGTTTGTATCTTTGTCCATTGTGGATGAAGTACGTGTTGGTTAGGCAGTGGTTGGTCAGGTCCAGGATGTATTCGGGGGGATTGTATTTGTTTTGAATGGCTGTCAAGGCTTCATTAATGGGCACTTGTGTGAAGAGAGATACAACATCGAAGCTCACAAGTAGGTCATCGGGATGTAGGTTTTGCTTCTTTATTGTTTCTATGAACTGGAAGGAGTTTGTAACGTGTGAAGAGATGGATTCTGCATAGGGCTGAAGTTGCTTAGCGAGAAATTTAGCGAGATTTTGTAGAGGTGAGCCTATGGAGCTGACTATTGGTCTGAGTGGTGTTCCTTCTTTGTGTATCTTGGGGAGGCCGTAGAGTTTGGGGCATCTGGATGATTTTTCTCTGGGGATGATTCTTAGCTGGATTTCTTCACTGATAGGAGAGGCTTTTATTTTGGATTTGGTGGTTTTTTCCAGATAGGTGGTGGGATCTGTTTTTATAGGTTGGTAGGTAGGGTCTTGGAGTAGATTTGATAGTTTTGCTTGGTAGTCCGATGTGTTCATCACAACAGTGGCATTACCTTTGTCTGCTGGGAGAATGATTATGTTGTTGTCTTTCCTCAGGTTGGTGAGTGCTTTCTGTTCTTCTTTGTGTAAATTGCTTCTGGGTGGTTTGCTGGAGCAGAGGATGTTGGTGACTTCAAGTCTGATTTTATTGGCTTCATCTGGGTTGATTTTGGTTAGGCTAGCTTCGACTCCGCATATGATGTTTTCCGTGGGGATGCGTCTCGGGGCGACTGCAAAGTTGAAACCTTTGGAGAGTACTTTGGTTTCAGTTGAGGTGAGGATCCTGTCTGATATGTTATGTACTGTTTGTTTCATGGGTTGTTGTGGAGGGTGGCTGGGCTTCTGGCGTTTCTCTAGTTTGTGGAGTTTGTTGGTGTGTGTGTCTGTCTTATGTGAGGTCTCAGTTTCAGCTCTCCAGACGGCTAGTTGTTTGCATTTGTCCCAGAGTGCAGGGTGGATTTTGTTACAGAGTTTGAGGTGAAGAGTGAGCAGATCTTTGTTGGTTTGGTTTAGTAGGTATCTTTTCTTATGTAGTTCGTTTCTGATTAGGGATAGTTCAGTTCGTTTCAGGATCCTTTCGGTGGCTGGGGTTTTAGAGTGGACACCAAAACCTGCATTCCTGTACCCGTGAAAATCTACGAAAGCATATATATATATATATATACACACACACACACACACACACACACACACACACACACACACACAGTGGTACCTCGGGTTACATACGCTTCAGGTTACAGACTCCGCTAACCCAGAAATAGTACCTCGGGTTAAGAACTTTGCTTCAGGATGGGAACAGAAATCGTGCTCCGGCAACGCGGGAAGCCCCATTAGCTAAAGTCGTGCTTCAGGTTAAGAACAGTTTCAGGTTAAGAACGGACCTCCGGAATGAATTAAGTTCTTAACCCGAGGTACCACTGTATATGGATGAATTAAATTTTAGGACATTTCAGCACTGAATTTACTGGGTGCCATGACAGCAGTCTTTTGTGTGTGTCCCCTAAATTGGCTGTGCATTTTTTCGATCTGCCTGAGAAACAGCAGAAATGGGGGCTGTTCAGCCCAGCATCTTTGGAGGCTGGGATAATAGGACTCCCATGGCAACCAGGGTACCTCTCTCCATGGCAACCATCCCATACAGGGAGTCAGAATGCCGAGGCCTTATTTGGTGGAACACAGCGGGGGGGGGGGGCATGCACATTTGACCAGGAGTTCCAGTGGGGGGGGGGGGCTGGCTAGGGGCCATAATTAGAAGTCTAAATTGTAGATCATGCTTGAAGATGCCTCTGCAAACCATTCCCCTGTTTATGTGGTGTCCAAAAACATTTTGCTACCTCTATGAGGTGTAGCAACAAATCCCCACCCAACTCTGCTTTGCATGCAAAGTCTCTCATGTTGACAGGAGGCATCTGGCTGGATCTCATGGGAATGCAGGCGGAGATAGGCCTTTGGTCCAGTCCAGCTGGACTCTTATGAGCCCAGAGCTGTGAGGACAAGGAAATCTACTCCAGGACGGTCAAGGGATCACAGTGCATGATAATTCAGTGGTGCATTATGACTCAGTGCAAGACAGCTTCTTATGTTCATTTTCCACTTTAAGTATGGCCCCAGCCTTCCTGCAACCCGGTACTTCTTATATTTCAGACCACAACTTCCCATCGCCCCTGATGTTTTGGAGCATGTATTCCACTCACCTCAAATGTTCTGGACCACAACTCCCATCAGCCCCAGGAGCTTCAGACTACAACTCCCATCAGCCCCCAGGAGCTTCAGACTACAACTCCCATCAGCATGGCTGGAACCAACAAGAGCTGTAATCCAAAACATCTGGAAGGATGTTGGGCAAAGGCTGTCCATACATATTCCAACTTTTATAAATGTGTGTGATCTTGGGAAGTGCCAGACAGATCATGAAACTAAATTTTGCCGGAGAACTTTTGTGTTATTGAACCGAAACAGCCCTGGAGGATGTGAACCCGGTGGTGTGAAGGGACTCTGCAGCACAGCAGCAAACTCTGCCCAAGGTGTTTTTGGCTACAGAGGAGCTGACATCCAGGATGGCGGTGATGGAAAGCCCTCAGTAGGTGGTCATTTCTTCAACCTGCAAGATAACAAAAAAGGGCCTTGAATTGTCAGGACAAGAGGCTCCCTGGCTTGGCACAGCCAACCCTAATTTGCAGTAGTTCTATAGGGTATTACTTGGATGCTGGCCTTTGGAAGCAGGATCCAGGATCTCTCTCACCCTGACCCCAGGTGCTATGGGCACTTAGGATACAGATACCTCTCCGGAGCCATGGAAGGGGCAAGTCCTATGGTTTGAATCCGTGGGCATGCAGCAGCCTTCATCAACTTGGTGCCCTGAATATGTTTTACAGATCTCTCCAGTGGAGGGCAATTGAGGTGATGAAGTCCCTATGAACCTACTTGATGGTAGAGCTTCTAATTTTGAAAAGCCACGGAGGGGGGAGCTATTTTGGCCTTTGAGGGGGTATTATTGCATTTGGGATTCCCAATCGCACCAAGACTCAATGGAGTCATTTGGATATATCTGAACTCACAGAATTCACAACCACAAAATGTAGAGATGGCTGCCAACTTGGATGGCTTTGAAAGAGGATTAAACAAATCCACAAAGGGTAGTCAATGGCTAGTAGTCACAATGGAGATGCCAGAACGTAGGCAGTTGCAAGGGAGATGCTCTATCACTGAGCTGTGCCTATGAATAACAGTTGCTGGGAATTGCAGTAGGTTGGGGAAGGCTGATTCTACTTCAGATTAACTATAGGGAACTATAGGGAACTACCTTTGGACACCTGATGCAGCAAACCCAAGCCTGGACCCCCAAGGATTATTGCTCAGTGGTATAGCATCTGCCTTGCAAGCAGATCTATGGTCCAATCCCTGCTGGCTTCTCTAGGTAGCATTGGGAGAGAGACTCCTGCCTGAAATTCCGAACAGCCACTGCCAGTTAGTGTTTGGTCCAGTCTTCCTATCTTCCTATGAGCTGCAGCCACCAGCTAAAATGGCTTCAAGAGGATCAGACAAATTCATGGAGAATAAGCAGGCTATTGATGGCTACTAGCCACAATGGCTATGTTCTCCCTTCACTGTCAGAGACCGTAGGGCTCTTAATACTAGTTTCTCAGAATCGCAAGTGGGGAGTGTGCTGCTGCTCTGACTTTTCAGCTTCCCGTTGGGACATCTGGTTGGCTACTGTGAGAAGATGATGCTGGACTAGATGCACCCCCTTTGGCCTGATCCAGCAGGGCTCTTATGTTCTTAGCCCCACTGACCAGGATTGACCAGGTGCCTCTCAAAGATGGGTGGGGTGGAGCACTGTAGAATACTGAGGGGCCCATCCATATTTCTAAGGATGTATTGGAATCAAGTGTGGGTGCATTACTGCATTGAGCATAGCAGCCAACCCCGGGGGACGGAGGTCCCTTTGCTCCATGAAATATTTGAGGGGGTGTATTATTGCATAGAGGGGGCCAAGTGTGTGCATGTGGGTTCAGCTATTGCAAGGGGGGGTTGGGGAGCCACAACATGCGTACAGGATAGGAGGCGCATTGTTGGTCAGAACAGGGTGAAGAGGCTTCCTCGCTCTCCGATGCTCCTGACGGGCACACCTGCTGCTGGGCAGCAGAGTCGGGGCCTGCCGCTGCTTCTGGCCCCGGGGAGGGGGTGACGGTGACGGTGGCGGTGCGGCGCCGGCTCCTGCTGCGGCTCCGGAGCTGGGAAGATCGGGGCCCGCTCTGCTGCTGGCGGCGGCGCTTGGCGATGCTGGCGCGGATCTTGGCGGCGATCTTGCGCTCGTGGCCGGACGGGGAGGTCCAGTTGGTGCGCTGCTCCCTCTCGCGGCGGCTCCGGCCCTTCCCGCCCGCGCCGGGCCCCCGCGGGCCGCCCTGGTGCGTCCGATCCCGCAGCCGCTCCAGGCGCTCCTCCGAAGGCGACGAGGAGCGGCCCGACTCCTGCTCTTCCCCGTCCACGCCGGCAGGGGGCTCAGCCGACACAGTCGCCAGAGCAACCTTCGACCGGCTGCGCTCACGCCGCATCTTGGCGCCGCCCTCCTGCTCTGGGCTCCTCCTCCTCCACGAGCTGCCCGGCTTCTGCTTCGCTATTGGCGGCGCGCGGCGCAAATACAGCCCTCCCCCGGGTTGCGTCATAGAGCCATCACCCCCTCCCTCGCCGCAGGGTTGCCATAGCAATGCGTTTGCCAAGGCCTAGTGTGAAGCAGGCCCGGCCTTTGCCAACCTGGTGCCCTCCAGGTGTTTTTGGACCACAGTTCCCATCAGCCACCTCGCAGTCCAAAACACCGGGGGGGGGGAGGATCAGTTAGCTACCCTGGGCTTGTGCTGTCATAGCAGGTCCGCTATACATATCATATAAAAAGCTGCACATGAACATTGCAAATAAATAAATTTTATTTTATTAGGCTTTATTATTGTAGCCTTATGAGGCTTTGCCGTCGGGTGGGAAAAATATTGCGCCCGGGAAAGGGAAGTGGGAGTCAACAGACACTCAAGGAAGAGTTTCAGAGAAAAAGCTTTATTTCTACCATCCATGAACTGGTAGAAGGAGCAAGTGTGATAACTCACAAAAAGCATGCACGAGTTTACAGTCATGTGCACAAACATATATACCCCTTCCAGTTCCCTCCCCCTTTCTCCTTCTTCCATTGCTTTTATTATCATTACATTTTTGCATGATAGATAGATGAGATAAATGAAATTATATATATATGTCTGACTCGGGAAATAAATAAAATGTCATTTTATCATTACATATTATCATTACATTTATTATTATTTGAACATATTTATATATGATGTTACTCTATTTTTGTATAATTATTTAAATCCATTTGATACCACCTTTTATTAAGAAATAACCCCAAGGTGGTTTACAATGATAACAATTCAATGAAGATATAAAACGTTGATCTATTTAGAACAATTCTTAACATTTTTTTAAAGTAGGAGATGAATTTTTAAACTTTATTTAAAGCCATTGTCATCTCTCCTTTCATTAAGAATAACTCCAAGGTGGTTCACAATAATGATGCAAAATCATTCTCTAAAAACATAAAACATTTATTTATTGGCGGTGGGGAGCACAAGCCACTTAAAGTGGTGAATATCAAAAAAGTACAGTAGCAAATCATTCAAACTGTTAGCAGTGGCCAGGAATTCCCTGGCCAAAAGGTGGCAAAAGAGCCTATTACATTCCTCACAACGGAGATTACATTCAAAAAAGATGTGACCCAAAGTTTTGACAACTTCACCTCTACAGGGACACAGATGACCCTCCTATGGGACAGCTCAGTAACACCTTTCCAATATTGTGGAAGGGAGACAGTTAGATCTGGCCTGGCAATATTTGGGGATTGTCAGATTATTTAGATACAAAAGGCTTGTATTTGGGGATAGTCAAATTATTCAGCTATCTAGCATACCTAGGAAATTCCAATGTTGAATCAAGATACAGTGGTACCTCGGGTTACATACGCTTCAGGTTACATACGCTTCAGGTTACAGACTCTGCTAACCCAGAAATACTGCCTCAGGTTAAGAACTTTGCTTCAGGATGAGAACAGAAATCATGCTCTGGCGGCGCAGCAGCAGCGGGAGGCCCCATTAGCTAAAGTGGTGCTTCAGGTTAAGAACAGACCTCCAGAACGAATTAAGTACTTAACCCGAGGTACCACTGTATATCGGAGAGCAAGTTCTATGGGCGTATGATATAGAATATTGGCAATCAATATCCTTTGCCCGTTGTGCTGGGAGAATTATTTTGTGTGCAGGGGTAGACCACAGAGAGGCCTAATATATGCAGTTTAATAGTATACTGATGGTTTAAAGTCTAATTTTAGATTCTCCCTCCCCCCATGACAATTCCCTTGGCACAGTTGGTCATACTTAGCGGATGGCGTTGCAGTGCGTCCATAGAATATTCACTCCCATCTTTCTTCCTGTGGTTCAAGGGACAATAAAGTCGCACAAGGGTAGCATTCATGGCTCCAAAGGATGTCATCAGGACCCTCTTTGTTTCTCTGAACAAAAGGGACTCATAATGCGGAACGGCTGTCCAGCAAGCCCCAGATAGAGCCAAACAACAGGGGACCTACTGTCTGGATCCAGTGTGTAGATAGTAACTATGCCTGATGTCTTTGAATGCTCTGTCCTTTCAGTATGAGTTAATATAAAGACTGGATGCTGGGAGAGGGGAGAAAGTTTGACCTAGAAAATACAGAATAATAGAATTGCAGAGTTGGAAGGGACTCTTAGGGTCATCTAGTCAACCTCCTGTTTCCCATGGCTTTTAACTGAAAAGGCTACTGCTGCATTTTGTTTGTTGAATTTTACAGTACTACTGGCTACATTTAAAGTGACTGAGTTATTGTGATTGAAACTGTATGTTATAGAGACATTACAGATTTGCTGTCAATGTAAGCTGCCTTGGGAAGTCTTGGAAGAAGGGTTTGGAAATCTCAGGGATAAATAAATAAAATTGGTTAAACAAGAACTCTACAAAACAATATTTATAAAATCTCAAATTCATACATTCAAATAAAAAAGCCACACATTAAAAGTATTTAAGACATAGGGATTCTGCCCGTTTTTAATTTATAATGTTCAAATTGTTGTAACTTGCCCTGGGGCCTGCTGTTGAAGGGTGGCTGATACATTTATTAATAAAAATAAAACTCAAGAGCAGATCAATTAAAATGAATGTCTATGACTAATTTAGGTTGGATACAGCTCACTGTCAGAAGCATCAAGAGATAATAATCTAATCGGGCCACGCACTTGCTGGATTAAGTGGTTGGTAATTTTCAAAATAAGATCATTATCATATTTATCTACTGCATATCCCATATATTTACCAGATGGGAATCTATGCTGCTTACACAATTTAAAACCACACATATAAAGTAAGAAAAACTAAACACGTATTGAAAAATAATTAAAAACTGTAGTGGAATAAAAATAATACAAAAAAATTAAAGTAACCCCTGCCAAAGGATTCGAACTCTCAGCCCCGCCAGAATGTAGCAGTGGAGGACCACGCCCATTGGCTTCCCTTGCCACGCACAAGCCTCGCGATATCCTCCTATCTAAGCGCTGCTAGCGGTGCGGTGGGTGGGGCCGGACGGTAGGATGAGAGTGGGCGGGGCCATGAGAACGCACGCGCCCGTCGTTCTGATTGGCCGGCTGGCTCCGCGTCTGAGAGCGCCACGTTCAGAGAGGAGATAGAGAGAAAGGAGGAGGAGGAGGAGAAGCCGCAATAAGAACCCAGGCCGAGGGGCGTGAGGGGGAGGGGGCGTGGCTCCTCTCAGCCAATAGGTGGGTGGGAGGCAACACGCGCGGGCGTGGCGCGACGTGGTTTGCGTCGTGGCGTGAGCTTGCGCGCGCGCAGGGGCGAGAAGTCTCCTGCCGGGTCCGCCTAGGCGAGGGCTGGGCTAAGATGGCGGCGCCCGTCCTCCTGCGAGTCTCGGTGCCGCGCTGGGAGCGGGTGGCCCGCTACGCCGTGTGCCTGGCCGGCATCGCCCTCTCGCTCTACGCCTGCCACCTGGAGCGCGAGAAGGGCCGCGACCTCCACTACCGGGCCCTCTGCGACCTCAGCGACCGCGTCCGCTGCTCCGCCGCCATCGCCTCCAGGTCAGGCGGGCCGGGGAAGAGACCCGCTCGGGGGGAGAGGGTGTCCCCGAACGTGTGCAGAGCGCGTCTGACCTACTCCCCCGCCGCCCCCCGCGAGGGTCTGGGGTGGCCTGAGTTATTTCCCTCCACGGTGCGGAAGGGCCCCTGAGCATGTACAGACCGCACCTGCCCCTTCTCTCTTTCCAGTGATGCCCCGACGCGTATCTCCTGCTGCTTCCACCTCCTTGGGTGGTTTCGGGTCTTGCTGGGCAGGTTCAGAGGATGCAGTTCCCATTCTGCCCATACTTGGCCGGGACTGATAGCACCAATGAATTTGGGTGATAAGAGTGGAAGGATTTAGCTGTGGGTAGAGGGTCGGACTGGGAGACCAGGATCCGGGTCTCAACTTGGCCATGAAGCTCATTGTGTGACCTTGGGTGCCAGTCACTGCCTCTCAGCCTGGCCTACCTAACAGGGTTGGTGTGGGGATTAAATGAGGAGAGGGGAAACCATTTATGCCACCTTGAGCTCATTGGAGAAAAAGGTGGAAAATAACTGCAATAAGTAAATAAAAAATCTTGGGTCTCACCACTATATAACTGCCCTAAGGGGGTGATTAATGTTGACCTACAGGGTTGCAGCTGACAGGTCTTGGAGCAAATCTTGGTCACTGCTCTTCGATCTAAGAGCTCTAGCTCATCATGGGATATTGTGGGAGAGGTTTTGTGGACAAGAGTGTGCTTCATCAGATATGTGAAGTGGTTTTAGTTACCAGACAGAAACAGTACAAGAGTATGAGGCCAAAAGACCACCTGTGTACATGAGAGAGGATACTGTACATATCACATAGGAAGAAGAGAAGCTGTCAGAAGAGTAAAATACCCAGTCAGAGTGGGCGTAGCCTTCCATAAGATGAACAATATCTGCTAACACCTAAATAGTGTGTTGCATTCTGGAATTTCTGCTGAGGTCATTTGGTGACAAATCTGCAACCACATTATAGTCAAATAACCCCCAAGATTAGCATGAAGAATTCCTGTCCTACAGGGAGTGGTTTTATGGTTTGGTTTTTGTGGAGAAACTTAAGTAAATTGATAAAACTTTTAACCTGAGGACAGGGACTGATCTTTGTAGTTCTTCTGATCTACTACAGTGGTACCTTGGTTTGCATACATCTTGGTTTGCATACGTTTTGGATTACAAACACTTCAAACCCTGAAGTGTGTGTCCCGGTTTGCAACCTTTTTTTGGATTACAACCCTTTTTTTTGAGGCCCCATTGGCGAAAGCGCGTCTTAGGTTACAACCTGTTTTGGTTTACAAACGGACCTCTGGAACGGATTATGATTGTAAACCAAGGTACCACTGTATACTGATATTTGTAATGAATTCTGGGAGCCTTTTTCAACTAAAGAGTGTTGGAAGATTCAAATGTTGGAAGATTCAGTTACTGAGCCAAGTTGTGTTGGACCTGTTTGGGAACTTTTTCCAGCAGAGAGTGAGGAGGAGAGGGAAGGCCCTCTATATGTGTTTGGGTTGTTGCATTTGAACAAGTGATCTAGATCTAGACCGTTGGCTGAATGTAGCCTCTTGTTTTCTCTCCAGACCCTTGGAAGAAATTCTTTTGCAAAGAGGCTTGGGCTCCAGGATAAGAGCTGTGCATGCCAGGAATCTGTATGTGTTGAGCAACATTTTTGAGTAGGAGAAGGAGTGGCAGTGAATGAGTGCAGGGTGGAAGCAGAGAAGGGGGAAAAATGGGTGAGGCTGTGTTAGCTGACGGGTGTGTGTCTTGGACTGTTTCGATTTTGGCTTTGATCTACTGTGTGGGTTTAGAATGTCATGACAGGCGACATCCAGCAGGCCTCACTGGGTGGACTGGGTGATCGCTGATAGAAATTAGGCTGTGGGGAGGAAGCAGGAGGCGTCAGCTGACAGATTTATTTGGATTGAGACCAAGTTCCGCAGTAACCATGTGTATCATTGTTAAAGCAGGAACTTGCATAGTGTCTCAGAAGCTAGCAGGTGGGGTGAGGTTGGGTGTGGGAAATGTTTGGGAGGTAAGGTTGGAAAGGTTTATTGTGGAGTGTGGGTTTGGGCAAGCAGCAGTGGGAAAGAAGCTTGTCAGATTGAGGGATGAATTAAATGCGCTTATCCAGATAATGTCAAAGAACCTTGTTTATTATGCAGATACAGCCTGTGTTCCTACAAAAGCATTTCCCACCCAATAGTAAGAGAACTCAGTTCTGTCTTGATCTCCACTGGTGAAAGAGGCCCCAGTACAGGGCAGTTTGAGGCATTGTTAAGCCTTCGGCTCTCTTGGAGATCACTCTCCTAATGCAGTGGGGTTTGCTCAAAGCTACAAATTCCATTCTCCCAAACTCTCATGCATTTATTACTGCCTTGTATTTATCAGTAATATTGTTGACATCAGTTACAAGGAACTATATGTGGGTGATTTTCAGTGAGCAGATGGAAGGAAGAGGACAGAGTACTTTGACTTGCCTCTCATGGGAAGCACAACTATGCAGTGGGCCAGTGCAAGCAGAACAGAGCTTTCCAGGCCTCCTCCACCAGGCTAGTACATACTTTTGCAGGCAAGTGGGTTTTCCTCTTTTATGCAGATATCCCCCAGGTTCTGCACCAAAGTCTAGTGCGTTATATTGACACTCTGCATTTTGCCACAGTGCTAGCTTGCTTGGTGTCATAATACTTTAATCCTTTTCAAAAAGATTTTGTAAATTCCTTGTGCTTTCATAGGGAATTGTGATCCACTTCCTAGAGCCAGAAATGTTGTGCATGCTCCCTAATACCATGGACTTTTATCAGACATGCTATAGATTTTGCAATATTCAGATACAGTTTTCACCACATTTTGAGCAATTCAGTGAAATAGATTCACTTTTTTTTAAAAAAAGACACAGCCTGTGCAAAAACTTCAACTTGGTTTTAAAGCCCTGTGTCTATCTTATGGTAATGGGGAGTGTTGTCAGACAAGAGGCTTACTAAACATCATAAGACCCCAGAGGAAATCTTATTTGTGTGAAAGATTTTCATCAGTACACTAGCAGTCTCAGAAAGTCTCAGTTTTACACTGTTGCTATTTATCATATTGACTTGCTGATAGTTTGGCAGGCAACAGCCAGGGGTTTTTTGCCTGTATTGTGTGGAGGCTGGATTGACAGCTCATTCCTGTTGTGACAGGGTAGGGACCCTGTGGTTGTTTTGTCAAACAAATCCCTCAAGTAAAAGCATATTTTCTCCACTCCTTAACAATAGTGTGCTGTTTTATCTTTTTAGTTATACTTTGAACTGAGTTTCCCAACCCATTGCCACGATGACCTTCAGCTCCTATTTGCTGCTAGGCTTCCTGACCTTTCTGATTGACCTCTCCTGCCTCTTTTCCCGTCACATCTTTCCCTGCTGCCCTGCTTATTGAGCATTGCTTGATTCCTAGCTGTTGTTTGCCAGAGTTGGCCAGTAGACAACTGATAGAGTGAGTCGTGGCACAGTAGGATTAGCTTGGCATGCTGGACAGTGTAGAGTCCACCCAGAGGGTCAGTTGAAAGCTAGAGCACTGCCAGGTCAGGGGCTGGCCCAGCAAGCCCATCTAAAGACTGCTGTGATGTGGCTGAAACGAAAGAGAAGCTAGCAGACTGGAGGAACAACAGTTCAGTTGGTTAGAGCATGATGCTGATCATGCCAGGTCACAGGTTCAATCCCCCATATGGGACAGCTGCATATTCCTCCATTGCAGGGGGTTGTACTAGATGATCCTCAGGGTCCGTTTCAACTACTATTCTACTATATAGCTTGGCAAAAATACAGGCTCTGGGGAAGGGCCATAACACAGGGATGGAGCATCTACTTTGCATGCAGAAGGTCCCAGGCCCAATCCCTAGCACTCCCAGGTAGACCTGGGAAAACACCTAACTTGAAATGCCAGTCGTTGTTGACAGTACTGAGCTGGATGGACCAGAGGTGTGACTTTATATGAGGCAGTTTGCTGTGTCACTATTGTCCCAACACCCACCCCAAGAAGGAACATTTTCATTTATTTCATTAGCTGATGTGTTTGAAGCACATTGTTGCTCCTGCAAGGGAACTCCCTGAACATTGCCGGCGTCACAGGTCAAGATATGCTCCTCTGGCAGAGCCGAGCAGGAGATCTTGTGCACTGCTGGATGAATATCATTCTTCTTTTCACCTTAATTGCAGCCAGATATGAAATTTGATGCCCTGGTAATAAATAGCAGCAATATGGCACAGCTAAAGGGAATCATAATCTGGAGACTGGAAAACCAGAAGGACTGATTGATTTAAAGACCTCCTTCATTGTGCTGTGCAAGGATGTCTTCTGCTCAGAATCCCCCTCCAACTTTTTCAGATGGGACACAAAGTTGTCTTGCTTCTCATTTGGGACTGGAGAAGACCCGTGTGTGTCGTTGTCTAGAAACAGTGGAATTTTTCATGTCGTGTCTTCTGGCTAGTTCCTGGAAAATCAATCTTTTTTGGAAGCTGGCTCCCAGAGCAGGTGTGCTAGATTTAAACATACAAGGTGTTCTAAGATTTTCACAATTAAACTATAGAAGTACTGTTGTTTAGTCGTTCAGTCGTGTCCGACTCTTCGTGACCCCATGGACCAGAGCACGCCAGGCACTCCTGTCTTCCACTGCCTCCCGCAGTTTGGTCAGTACTGTACTGTACGGGACCTTAAATATACTTCCTAAATTGCTGCCAACTCCACTGTGTTCAAGGTAAAGCTGGATGCTTGCTGGAAGAAAGGAGGTCATCCTAGCAGGTGTAAGCATAGGAAAGTTACTTGCCTTCCTCTCCACATATGCTGTATGTTAGCCATTTGTGGCGTTAAAAGGAGCCAGGCTTTCTCTGCATGGTGGCCTAGAGATGAGATTGTTCATCATAGGGGACCAGGCAACTGATTTATTTTCGGCCCTTTGCTACAGTTGAAGTTAGTGGACTTTGCATTAATCACATATGGAATTTCTGTTGGGGTGTGTGTGTGTCAGGTGTTTAACCTTGGCAGCTCCCTGCACATTCTCCTGAAATATTTGCTAGCAGACGTACCTTCTGTAGGTGAAATGTTTTCTGAAGTTGCGTAATGTTTTAGAATACTTTTTCCCAAACGCATCATGGGTTGGGCATTTGTGTGCTTAGGTGGTGATTAGTAGTGGTTTCCCAGTTTGGAATTGGGTAATGTGGGTGAAACTTGAACGGGAGTGTGAGAAAATCCTTATCGTGTACAGGAAGCCTTCCTTAAAGTTAGGCACTCATTGCACTTGGAACCTAAGAAAAGCCCTACAGCTGGATCAGTCCAAAAGGGGTGTATTAGTCCAACATACTGTTCCCACAGCAGGTAACCAGATGCCCCTGTGGGGAGTCTGCAGGCAGGACCTGACTGCAACACCACCCTCCATGGTTTGTGATTCTTATCCTCAAGCCCAGCTCAGGCAGAAGTGGAGGGCCAAGGATCATATCCAGTTTTAGTCATACTCAGAGTAGAGCTACTGGAGTTAATAGAAGTGGTTAATGTAGAGCCACTAATTTCAATAGGTCTCCTCTGAGTAGAACTTTGATACAGTCTTGAACTCGCCCCCTGCTTTGGATGGCATTAAAACAGGATTAGAGAAATTCATGGCAGCAAAGAGGGCTACTAGCCAGGATGGCTCTACTCTGCCTCCACAGTTGGAGGCACCAATTCTCCTGAATACAAGTTGCTGGAAACCCCAGGATGGGAGAGTGCTGCTATGCTCGAATCCTGGTTGCGGGTTTGGCACCTGACTGGTCAGTGTGAGAAGAGGGTCTCTGGACTAGATGGGCCATTGGCCTGATTCAGCAGGCTTTTCTTACGTTCTTATGAACCCCTTTGCCGGCCCTGCCCAATTTAACAAACTCGAATTCGTGCATGGCCCATTCATGGCCTCACTGGCTACACTACAGTGCAAAAGGACTTGCTAATAGCTGGTGCTGCTCATCTGAAACCTGAGTGATTCTTTTAAGGGCAAGTTACATTTCATCTGATGTAAAACCAATACAAAACAAGCACAAAAAACTCCAATCCAAAAACCATCAAAAACTAGTAAAGCAGGAAAATTAAAGAGAGCAGCTGACAGAAGACCCGCAGTTTCAGTAGCAATGGAAACAACACAGCAAGTTTATGGACTTACTAATCCCCAAATCCTTTATTATCCCATAACAAATTTAATTACTGAGCAGAGGAGCCATAGAGCATCCTGGCACGAATCAGCTGCAGCAGTTTCTCTTTGAGGTTTGCATAAAGGGTTCTGTTTAGCGATGGTATGAAGCTGAAGGCTCACCACACTTGCCTGAACTCTACAAATGAGCCCTTTTTATAGCGGCCCTCAAGGGCTATTGAGGGCACTGCCTGCATTCCTAATGCTGCAGAAAGCCTTCCTTGGCTTGTCTGAAATCATGGTCAGAAATTAAACTGTGAGGTCATGGTTTTAATATGCTTAAACCACTGTGAGAAATGAGGTTGACAAAGCGGTGAAGTCAGGCTCAGTCTTTGTTAGGGCTAGGCAATATCTGCTTTTCAACTTCGTGATACATCACCAGCTAAACATCACAATATTTCACCCTCAAAGCCAGCCACTAGATGAAAGGGAAGCGCTTCTTTCATAAAATTTATACACCGCTTGACTGTAAGGGAGAAAAGCCCCTTTTAAGTGGTTTACAAAAAGGATACAATAAAATTCATAAGAAAAATTAATGGCAATAATTGAAAACTTTCCCAAAGTTAAAATAATGATAGACTAAAAACAGATTAAAACTCTTCTCAACTTTCTGAAGATCTGCGTCGCCTTGTCTAAACAAGAATGTTTTTAGCAGGTGCTGAAAAGAGTACAGTGAAGGTGCCTGCCCGATGTCAATAGGCAGGGAGTTTCAGAGTGTATGTATTTGTTTTATTTATTAAATTTGTATACCGCCCTTCCTCTGCAGATCACAACATAAAGTGCAGGTGCTGTCACACTAAAAAGTTGACTTCTTACGAATGTGGAACGGGTATTATGTGGCAACTAACAGGGCCACTTCCGCTGACTAAATGGTGGATAAATGGTTCCCAAGTTGTTATTGGCTTTATATGCTAATAGTAGTACCTAGCAAATTGGTAGCCAGTGAGATCTTTGATCACAGGTGTTCCATGCTGTCGGCGATCGTGCCACAGCATTTTGCACTATAACTGCAGCTTCCGAATCAAATGATTCCAGTCTTCTCTGTCATGTTGTATGTGTGTGGCAGATGTGGCCGAGCTGTGTGCGCAAGGCCTCCTTGCCCACTCGCCTGTCTTACTGTAGGAGGAGGCAAAACAATCAGATTCATGCAATGCAGACTAACTGCTCCACTGTCTTTCAGATGGGGTCGAGGTTTTGGCCTGCTGGGTTCCATTTTTGGAAAAGACAGTGCAATAAATCAACCGAACAGCGTCTTCGGTCTTGTGTTCTATGTTCTACAAATGTTACTTGGTAAGTGTCAAAACTACCCTCCCTCCATTTTCCATTATCTTTTGCCTGTGGTGCTCAGGGTCACACACCTTCTGTTGAATAAACTTCGTTCCTGGCACAGCTGCATCCTGTATCCTCACTGAACTGCCTTTCCTATCCCATGGTCTGAACAAGCAGGTCAACAGCTCATAGTCCTTAACCACAGTAACACCCACAAATCCTGAAGCAGAGCTGGAAAGAATAGCCAATTCCCAGCCATCAAAATTAACACACATTTGTTAGTTGTCCGCCATGTTCAGGGCTGGGGAAAATGTCTCAGCTGCATCAGAAGTGATGGGGAATGTGGCGGCAACCATCCCCTGTGTTTCTCACTTCGGATTCCCTCCCCAAACTCCCTTCAGATAATCAAAAACCATATTTTCAGTGAATGCATAGGCTTGCAAATAGCCACTCGCCTGGTTGCCTTTGGTGAGCTGGAATCCATTCCAGGCAAAACCAGGCTGTAACTCAGAAGGAAGCTGGCCCTTCTTGTTTTCAGGCTTCCAGCGGGTTGCAAATCCTTGGAGTCAGTATAACTTTGATGGGGCTTCGTTGCAAGCCTGAGTGGGTGTTTTGCAGCATTTGCTCTCATTAACCCTTCCTTTCCTCCCACCCTCCCCACTCCTGCTGTTCCTGCTCTCCCAGCTGTCAAACTTCAGGTTGTCAGCGTCTTGTGGCAGTGACCACTCTGTGCTTGCAGCTGCTTTAAAATGCTGTGCCCGGTGTTGGCGCTGCATAATGTAACAGAGGAAGGACTTGCACACCTTCTCTGCAAAGGTGCTGTGCATTAAATTTCCTCGCTGGATATCCCGGGAGCCTCAACTGAAGTGTTATGGTAATTGGTGGTCTTTGATATTTTGGTGGTGGGCAGCATTGTGAAGTACCTTTTTGGGGGGAATAAGCTGAGGACAGGCCCCTGCTTCTCCCTCCATGAGTTTATCTAATCCCCCATGAAGGCCTTCTGAGCCTTACTACTTTTTACAGCCAGTTTCCATGAATCGAGTAAGATGGAGCAGACTTAACATCGGCCCCAGGCCTTGGAGCTCGTAACCTCTGAGGCTTTAAGCATTTTAAGAAAGCAAAAATCCTTGAGCAAATCCTGTTTCTCTGCCTGACAGTGGGCGGTCTGTTAGTGCTGCGGTGACTGACCTATTTGTTTTATTTGTTTCAAAAAATTGATACAGTACACCACTTGATTGTAGTAAAACCACAAAGCAGTTTACAGAAAAAGATAAAACAATAAAATTATCACTAGGAAAAATTAACCAAAATAATTAAAGACATTCAAAAAGTTAAATTAGCAAAACAAAAAACTTGCATCAGTTTAAAAAACCTGCATCAATTTTCTAGACATCTGGGTAGGCTTGTCTAAACAAAAATGCTTTTAGCAGATGCCGAAAAGAGTCATGTGAAAGCACCTGCCTGATATCAATAGGCAGGGAGTTCCAAAGTGTAGGCGCTGCTGCTGACTTCAAGCTTCCAGCTGGTGTGTGTGTGTAACAAAACACCTCTCCATCTTTCCAAGTCTGCTTTGAATGGTATATAAAACGTATCTTTTTAAAAATGAGAAATAGGAATGGCTCGGCTGGGCTGTGTTGGGCAAAACTGTGCCAAGTAACTGCTTTCTCTTTTCCAGGTATGACGGCAAGTGCGGTAGCGGCGCTAGTCCTCATGATGTCTTCCATAGTGTCGGTAATAGGATCCTTGTACCTGGCCTACATTCTGTACTTTGTCCTGAAGGAATTCTGCATTATCTGCGTTGTCACGTACTTGCTGAACTTCATTCTCTTTATCATCAACTACAAACGACTAGTTTACTTGAACGAAGCCTGGAAGCGGCAACTCCCGCCCAAACAGGATTAACCCCCTCCCCCATCCCCATGAAAACTTTTGACTGACAGTCTGAAGACCCGACTTCCGTTTCAAGTTTATTTCACAGTAAAAGAAGGTTTTTGTTGTTGTTATTTTTATTCTCCATATCAGATGCTTTCCCCCAAGGAACCTCACTGGTTTAATGACAGTGAATGGAAAAGAACCGGGCTCTGTGGTAACTTCTGTCCAATGAATTCAAGGTGGCATCGGTGGAAGTCCTAACCCAATCAAAGACCAGCTTTAACTCTACGCTGAAGGAGTTCTTAGCTGCAGATTCGTTGCACCCTCCTATTCTGTCCTCCCCCCAATATTTCAGGTTGGTAACACTTGCTAGGAAGCCCCTGCATTCTATGTATAATTTCAGTTTTGGGAGTCTTTAACAGAAGATCATGATAACTTTATTCTAGACTTTAGAGGTACCGTACGGAAATGTTGCTGTTTACATTATGTGTATTTGTAGCTAAGGGGATTTCACTTAGAAGACTTACTGCAACATTGTACATAAGGCTCAGAAGCGCTGGGCAGCGTCCGTGTGAAACCAGAAGCTTATCACGGCTCAAACCGGTTTTTGTTCAGAAGCTTAGCAACTTGAAAAACCTTCAAATTCTCGTTGGAATATTTTATTTTTTAATGGAGGATGAAATGAGCCCATCTCTCTGGAGAAAACTGTTGCAACGAGGGAGAATTAGTTGAGATTCTTTCTTCCTTCTTTTTCTTTGGACATGAAAATGGAATTTGATGCGGCAAGTTGTGCATGTCTTCAGAAAGCGGCAGGACTTAATACAGGTTCCTGTGCAACACGTGAGCTGTTTGGCGTGGGTGACGAAAGATCTCCTGGGAGGACACTAAGAAGGGTTTGGCCTGGGGGAATGGAGGGTCGTGGCATTGGGAGAGCCATCTTCTCAAATAGGCAACCTGTAGAAAAAGGGGAGAGCCGACCTTGCGCTCCAAATCGATGTCAGGCGGCCAAACAGTATTAATGGTTTGAGGTATATTTCAAGCTGCTGCGTAGAATTACAACGTTACACTGGATCCCAGTGACTTACTGGCAAACTGATGCACTGAAGTCTTCTTATGCAAGCCAGAATGCAATGGAGGGCAATGTCCAAGGGCACTTAGAGCTTCCCCTGGGCAGTTTCCCTTTGTTTCAATGAGGCTGGCGCATAAAATGATTGTGACAAACTTTGTAGAGACCTAGTGATCCCGGATCCTTTTATACAAAATTGGGAGTGAAGTTTAGGGTGGATATTGAACTGTTCCCCCCGCTCCTGAGATGAGGGGCAGGAGGGCTAGGGATTGTGTTAGAAGAAAATGGGCAGGCGAAATGAATAGGCTTGGTTGAAAGGGAAGGCTTAGGATTCCGTAACGGTTCTTGTTGGAAACTGTACGTTCAAGCGAAAGAGCGCATCACTGTGGGTTATTTTCCTTCATTCCATGGCGTCCTGAAATGCAGTGTTTCTTTTTCCTTTTAAAAAAAGTGCCTTCTGTCCTTAAAAAAGAAAAAAAAAAAGAAAAAAACCAAATATTGGGCCAAGGGGTTGGAGGTGTTTGAAATTGGCAGGCAGAAGTGTTCGTACGAGAGAGATAGATATATATATATGAAACAAACCTTTGCAGTATGTAGAAAGTGTTTCTCTTCCCATGGGGCTCCCCACATAACCAATGACCTCAGATGGGTTCCTCCTATGATCACTTTGGCTAACCTCATGGTTTGGACTATGGTTGAGGAGAGTTGTAGTCTGAAAGCGCCCAGGGGGAAGGCACTAGGCTGCTGTGAAGGCCTTCCAAGGACGTTCCTATGAAGCCTGGTTGGAGGAGGCAGGAATGCCAGTTCTTCGGCCACCCCCCAAAACTGGTCCTTTCAGCCAAGTCAATGCTTGGTGCTCACTGCCGACAAGGGCAGCAGTGTGGGCTCCACAGTCCCTGTGACTGGCTTCTGCTCTTTGTGCTGGAGCATCTCCTGGCGGAAGAGGCTTACCTGCCCTTCCTTCCCACACTACATTACCCAACACTGGAGGCTTTGCCTGGCCAGTTTTGATAGGAAGGCAGTAGCCCGCAAATGGACCGTTTTGCAGGGCTCGAAATCTGGGAAGGCAGGAGCAGCTTCCAGTCTTGACACAGCCGCCACACTCAAAAGATCGCTCCTTGGAAGTGCTTCTGTCTTTCCTACTCCACACCCACCCCACCCGGCAATTTCCCGGAACGGTGGGGAAACGAGGTTGCCACTTTGTTCTCGTAGAGGTAGCAAGAAGGTAGGTGTTTCTGGAGAGCGAGAGTGTGTGTTTTAGAGGTGCTAAGGAGCGTTTGGAAGGGCAGTCTCTGTGGGTGACCGTAGCCCCTGTTGGAACCGCACAGCTGCTACAGTCACCTGGAGGCTTCTCTGCATGGGAGGACTGCTTGAGGCTCCTGTATGAGTTAGCCTGTGGAACTGATATAGTCACAACTATGCTTCATCCCCAAATATCTCCGGCAGTTGCTTTGGGTGTGCGTGCCTGAGCACGCTTGTGCAAAAGTATTAAGGGTAGCGGGTTCATTGAGCTCAGTGGCATGTGATCAGAGCCCTGGCACCCGGCATTGTTTCCTAGGCATCTCACAGTGCCTGTCCTGGGTTGCACAGGACAGTGAAATATCTTGGGGCAGATCTGAATGTATCTAACCAATCCCAAGAGAAACTGAGAGGTCCCTGTTCTCCCAAGCGTGTGATGCCAAAAGGATAGCCCTGCGCTATTCCCACTGCTCACTCCCGGTGCAGGGCAGACTCTTTCCTGCCTTCGTATCTGAGAGGGCTGAAAACGTTCTTCAAAGAACCTCCTTCTAGAAAATTCCATTCCGTCTGTGTCTAAATACTTCTCGTGAGTCTGTGTAAGAAGTCCTCGTTTTGATGTACCGTTCTCCTTTTTAAAACAACAACACAAGATTAAGGTGTTAGAATGAAATCCTCTTGTGTCTTGTGAAAAACGCAGTGTGTTTTCAGTGGGATCGGCATCTGCCCCCCCCCCATGGTCTTTTTCGACAGTATTTTTAAAGCCTGCCAAATGAACAGTCCGGTTCTCACAAGGGACCACAACCGAGCACAAGAGGGTGGCAGTGGAAGCCTGGTCATATGAGTACTGTTTGATATGTATATGTATTTGTGTATATGTGTGTGTATGTATGTATATATATACACATATATACATACATGCAGTGTATAAAAGAAAGAAAAAACACTAATAACCGCTCGTTGTCTTCGTCAGGGTGGGGAAAAGTTTCTCAAAAGACATCTTGTGTTAACAAGAGTAAAGCTGAAGCTTGTCTTGAAATTTGTCGGTGGTATAGGTTTTTTTTGTTTTTTGCCCTTGCTCTGAAAGATTTTTTTTTAAAAAAATTCTTGTAATGATGAAATGTAAGGGTTTATTTATTGATTATTATTATTTCTTAACATATCTGAGGGCGAGAGAAGGCTTTGCTTTCCTTGAACCTTTGGTCAAGGAGAAGAGTTCCATTTGTACACGATTGTAACCTTGGCCTTTGTGTTTCCTCCCCGCTTCTTGGGACCAGCCTTTTCCTGCTTTCCGGGGCCAGCAAGCCTCATTGCTCCCACGCAATTTGGCCTGCTCTGCCTGCTGATCTTGAATTGCAGAATCAAAACCTTGGGTGTTGACTTCATCCCTCCCCCTTCGTTTTCTCCCCGATGGAGAGAAACCCACCTTTTTGTTAAGTGTTCTTCGCAGGCTCTGTGCATCACAGATGTTCCCAGCCTGGTTTGTTTTGACCCCTGCGTAACAGCCACCCAGGGCACTCGGCAGTTGACTTGTAGCTGCAGGAGAGCCCATCCTGCTCCTTCCTCCCACTCCTATCACCCAGGGGGACAGAAACCCTTCTCCTTTGGAGGAGCCAGGCCCCTTAACGCACTGTGGTGGCTGGACCTGCCTGCTGGGTTGCAAGAAGTGTGCACGCTTCCTTATCGCCCACCCCAGTAGGACCCCCAAAAAAGCCCCAACCAACTCTCCCCATATGTGTGGTTGAGATACCTAGGTCTCAGCCATGAGAGGATAGGACCATCCATGCAAAAAAGCAGTTTGGGTGCAGGATGCAACGTGGTGGTGCCCCATGGACCTATGTAGAAGAGGGAACCCTTGCCCCCTTTTTTTCATGCACCTGCCAAAATCCTGTCTTTTTACACAGCCATCCTTGGCCAGTTGCATCTGGTTGTCCAAGCTGCCTCATTTTATGCCAGAGAGAAACAGGGAAATGCTTGTTGTCTTCCGGTGATTTAAAGGTTCAAGTTCGTATTAGCCCTATGTGTGGGGAAGCCAGACTTTCTGGAGACCAACCTCATTCTCCTCCCTCGCCTGTCATTCCAACCCAACCCCTGAAAATTGAGTGTGGCGTGTCCAAGTCGTCTTGCAGACAGGGAGCAGGCAGCTTTTTGCTTAGTGGGGGATGGGAGACACCCACCCGACTTGTGGGTCGGAGAAACCCATTTTTGTATTACACGTGGGACCCTTCACAGTAGAGTAGGGGGTAGCTGTTGCGTCCAGGAGCTTGTGAATGAAGGCATATTATTTGAGGCAGACAACAATCCAGCTTCCACTCACCCCTTCAAGGTTTTGATCTAGATGAATTGACATGTTCATGTTGCTTTTGTGCCACCTTCGCCAACCTCATCTGGAGGGAGCTGGTGAGAGATGGGGGGGGGGGGTCCAAAACATCTAGAGAGCATCAGGTTGGCAAAGGGCGATTGGCGAAGAATGGGATAAATCTGTAGTCCGGGGTGTGTGTGTGTGTGTTTCTATAAACGTCCGCTGCTTATGGAAATAATGTTAGCAGACTGCAGAATCAGAACATCTTTTGAAAGGGGTTTTCTTGCTGCTCGATGTGGTCTCTGATCCAAAAAGAAAGCTAGGATTTCAGCTAGCAGCTCCTGGCCTACCTGGATTTAAAAATAAAATAAAATAAAATACTTTGGCCTCTGTTCTGCCAACGCTATTGAAACACACCCTTGCAAAACTAAGGAAGCTGAAGTATTCCATTACCATTTTTTTAATTAAAAAAAAACCTGTATTAAGCATGGACTAAATATTCAATGTGTGTTCTGTCTCGTATGTTTTGATCTGACAATTATTATTTCTTTTTCATGTGTTTCGAACTCGCCACCTGTGTCTAAATTGGAGTCGTTCCGTTTTTCTGTTCAACCTAAGACTGCGACATTCTAAGGTCTGGGGTCCACTTTTTGCTAATGCGAAATTAAAACAGAAACCATGTAAATAATGTAAGAATGTTTTATTTGTTGCACATAACTTTTTTGGTATAAAAAACAAAAATAAATGTAGAAATTATCTGTGGATGTCTTTGTAGTGTTGTTTCATAATCTGTGCTGCTGTTTCATGCCCTTCTTCCCAGTAAGGCCCCCAATACCTTGATTTTTAGTCACAGTCCGCATTACAGTGCATAAAGTTATGCACTGTGGAGAAAGAATGGGGAGAGGTTTTTCTCCCTCACATATAATGCTAGCACCCAATAGGGTCATCCGCTAAAGTTGAATGTTGAAAGATTCAGGACAGACAAAATACCAGTAATTCCTTCACGCAGCACATAGTTAAACCCTGGAACTCTCTCCCACAGGAGGCAGTGATGGCCACCAACTTGGATGGCTTTAAAGGAGGATTGGACAAATTCATGGCGGTTAAGGCCACCAATGGCTATGCTCTATCAATCGCTGAGAATTACAAGTGTGAAGAGTGTGTCTGTTGTGCTAATCTCCTGCTCGGGGGCTTCCCAGAATAGGCATCTGGTTGGCCACTGAACTAGACAAGCATTTCTGCTGAACCAGCAGCTTCTTGCTCATACACCATACTTGTCAAAAAGACCCAAGAGATTGCAGTGATGGTTACACAAGGCTACACTGGCTTTGGGTAAGCCAGAATCTATAAACATGTTCAAAATGAGAATGTCATGGATGCTTTAGTTGACATTCCTCCTGCATTGCAGGGGGTTGGACTAGATGACCCTCAGGATCCCAACTCTACAATTCTATGGTTCTATAAAAAAACTTTGTCCGTTTTCATTTACGTTCCTTTGGCTTTATCGTACGGAAGAGCAGAGCTGTGGTCCCTCCCCTGCTTTCATGAAGAAAACACATTGGAGCAAAAACAATCACGGAAATTTAGTCGCTATTTGGATGCTCAGTAGTGCCTCTCCTTGAATTTCTTCTGCTGTGCTTAACGTAACAGCATAAGTCAAGTGCAATTGGAGGCCTGAGTTTGGGGCAAACCAATGTCATGGTAATTGGGCCGCGCAAGGGGCCTGCATTCCTCAGCCAGCTTCCAGTATCTCTCCCTTAGGACGAAGGCAGCCGATTTGGGTTGTCGTTGGCGGGTGAAAATACCTTTCTTGTTACCCAAAACGCGCATTGTGCCTGCAAGATGGGAAAGAAAGTTAAAAGGGAAGGCTCAACAGCAACAGCTTTGTAGAGCTGGGAAGGAACTTGCAGGTAATCCAGACCAAGGATGGGGAATCTGTGATGGCTCTCCATACATTGTTAGACTCCCAACTCCTATCATCTCTCAGCGCTGGCTAAGCTGTCTGCCTGGGGCTGATGGGAGTTGGAGTCCAACAAGATCCAAAGGGCCATGCAGGTTCCCTGTCCCTGATCTCTGGGCCACTTCCTGTCCAGTACAAGATGTACCCCTGCCAGATACAGTCGCTGCAGCCTCTGCTTAAATTCCTTACGTGAATGAAAACCCCCTGCTTCACCAGGCAGTCTGGTCTCTTGCCTCAACAGCTCTTGAAAACCTGGGAGCTGCCGTCTTGCATTGCCTATAGCAGGACAGTCCCAACTTTTCATACCAACTGGGCCGCAAGAGTACTTAGACACAGAACCCGCGGGCTGAACACTGCCTTGTTGTGCTGGAAGTGCGAGCAAGACTAAAGTTTGACCCCCCCACAAGGCTCTGGCAGGGTCCAAGAGCCCTCCCACCTCCTTTCTAAATTGGGAAAGTGCTAACTAAGCTTTTGGAATGAAGCAGGAGGGCTCTAGGACCCTGCCAGAGCCTCGGTTTTCGAGTGTCTCGGAAGCCAAAGGTTTTGGAACCCGAACACCAAAAACCCAGAAGCAATTGCTTCCGTTTTTGAATGCGCCTCGGAAGTCGAACAGCTTCTGCTGTGTGTTTTTCTTTTTTCTCCATTGACTTTGCCGACCGCCCTTTGTGCCTCGGTTGTCGAACATTTCGGAATTCGAACAGCCTTCTGGAACGGATTATGTTCGACAACCAAGGTACAGTGGTGCCTCGCAAGACGAAATTAATTCGTTCCGCGAGTTTTGTCGTCTTGCGATTTTTTTCGTCTTGCGAAGCACGGTGTCGGGAAAGTTTTGGAAAAGCTTCAAAAATCACCAAAGTCTTTAAAAACCTCAAAAAAGGCTACCACACCGCGTTCTATGAGTTGCTCCTCGAAGTCAAGTCGCAACTGTATTAACGGTATTAAGAAAAAGGAAACAAACTTGCAAGACGTTTCCGTCTTGCGAAGCAAGCCCATAGGGAAAATCGTCTTGCGAAGCAGCTCAAAAAACAAAAAACCCTTTCGTCTAGCGAGTTTTTTGTCTTGCGAGGCATTCGTCTTGCGAGGTACCACTGTACCTCCAAACCAACATCAAAAGTTTCCAGATATTTAAGACTTCCAAGGAGCTGTCGCCAGCGGCCAGCGCTGACTAGTATTTGTTTATTGCTGATGACTATTCTGCAGGATGCTGGAAGGAAATCCCAAGAATTCTAAGACGCCCCTGCCCCATTCCCACCACACCAGAGAAGCTGGCTTGTACATTTCGGCACAAGCAAAGGTAGTCAAGAACCATAGGGGGTCAGGCCGGTGTAGAGGGAGAGAAGGGGTTGGCTAGACGTGAGTGAAGGAGCTTTGGGAAAGCGATAGATGGAGTTAGCAAGGCAAAGTGAACAAGGGCAGCACCCCCCAGTATTAAATTTATGAGTTGCTTCCCAACGGCAGAGTCCTAAAGAAACTTGGGAGTGGAAGACTTTCGCAGAGGACACGGCAACTTCAACCTGAGACGCCAGTACCTTGGTTCGTCATGAAGTCGGCAAAATTCCAGATGAGTTCTCCAATCACATAGTCCTTCCTCTTTTGGTCTAGGACAGCATGATACTCCTTCAGCAGAGCCGCCTGGTATTCCTCAGAGAACATGAGAGGCGGGTCCTGCGGGAATAGGGAAAGGAAGAGGCCTCTCAAGCGAGATGAACGGGAAGGAAGAGCCCTTATGTGCATGGAACCAGTGCAGGCTGCGCAATGAATGAGAGCAGCCATCCAATATTTGGGTCACTGTTGTGCGGAAGGTGGAACGCTCTCATTCTCTGTTGCTTTAGAGGGGTGGGGGACCTTTGGCCTGTTGTGGGCCACAGATTGGCCTGCAAGACCACTTTCCCCAAGCAACGCCCACCTATCGATCAACTGATGTGGATGCGGAGGCGAGGTTCAATCCTGCTGGGTGCTGTCTCTCCACCATGTTCCCTGTGGGGGAACACCCTGACAAAGTGGAACTCTGCATAGAGTAGGATTGAACCCTCCGCTCATCACCTGATAATAAAATTATTATTTGTACCCCGCCCATCTGACTGGGTTGCCCCGACCACTCTGAGCAGCTTCCAGCAGATAAAAGAACATACCGTATTTTTCGCCCTATAGGACGCACTTTTTCCCCTCCAAAAATGAAGGGGAAATCTGGGTGCATCCTATGGGGCGAGTGCAGGCTTTCGCTGAAGCCTGGAGAGCAAGAGGGGTCGGTGCGCACCGACCCCTCTCATTCTCCAGGCTTCGCGGACCTCTCCGCAAGCAGCGGGAGCGCTCCTGCTGCTTGCGGAGAGTTGCCTGCATGCCGAAGCCTGCGCGCGCTGAGATCAGCGCGTCCAGGCTTCGCGGACCCCTCCGCAAGCAGCGGGAGCCAGCGCTGGGCTCCCACGGCTTGCAGAGAGCTGCCTGTTTGGGGCTGGGGTCGGGGGAAGCTCGGGCCTCCCCCGCCCCAGCCCCGCGCCTGGGGGGAAATAATTCCCCCCCTTTATTTCCCCCCCAAAAAAACTAGGTGCGCCTTATGGGACGGTGCGTCCTATAGGGCGAAAATACGGTAATTAAACATTAAAAACTTGCCTATACAGAGCTGCCTTCAGGTGTCTTCTAAAGGTTGTACAGTAACTTATCTCATGATAAGTGGAGAGCTCAGTCCTGCTGGGTGCAAGTTCACCAGGGTGTTCTGGGGGTGGGGGTGGAGTGCTGCTGGCAAAGCAGACCACCTCCCCATGGGTCAATTTCAGATGACTGGCAGTGGGGAAGGACCCAGCTTTCAAACTTGGCCCATGAATCAAAAAAGATTGGGCCAAAATTTCCCACTGCTGATCTTGAGGACAGGACTTTTTGTTTGTTTGACTTTTAAACCACCCTTCGTCTAAGCAGGATTCCAAAATCCTAATTAAAATGCCACCTTTATTTGCTTATTTTTACTTTGATATCCCACCCTTCCTCCAAGGAACTCAAGGTGGCATACATAGTTCACCCTCTTCCCATTTCATCCTCACAGCATCCTTGTGAATAGGTCAGGCTCACAGACTGTGACTGGCCCAAGGCCACCCATTGGGCTTCCTGGCCAAGTGAGGTCTTTGTCTAACACTCTAACCACTACAACACACTGGCTTAGCTAGGTATCTGTGAATGTGCACCAAGGAGGGAAGAGGCCTGAAGAGTTTGTGATGGACTAGAAACTTGCTTAAAGGCATAGGCTACTACTGTACCAGTATTGGGTCAAAGCCACCAGGTAATTCTTGTGTGTGTGTGTGTGTGTGTGTGTGTGTGTGTGTGAGCATTCTGAGCACCCACGGATCAGCAACAAGCAGCTGCTCAGTACAGTTCTCCTCTCAGACACATGTCATTCTTCTTTGGAAAGAGATGTTTTCTGCCTACAAGCGACTGGCCTCACAAGAGCCGGACTCACCATGTGGAGGCCGGCGATGGCATCTGCTCCGTACTCGCTCTGGATAATGGGCTTCTGGTGAGTTTGGTACCAGTTCTCAAACTGAGAGTTCAGCTGCAGGCGGATGACCTCCAGGTGTCCAGGGTCGTGGTACCAGGAGAAGTAGCTATTTACGCAGATGACGTCCACGTAAGGGGCCTGCAGAAATTTCAATTTTGTTTTTAGCTGATTTTGAGGCATGTCCGCTAGACGGCAAGTGTTCTCTCTCTCTCTCTGCCCCCTTTCCCCCATCCCCAAACATATTGGGGGAAAGAGAAGGGTGCAAGCAACTCATTCTTGCATAAGCTTCATAGAATTGTAGAGTTGGAAGGGACC